GTACTGGGTTAATGAATTCAACGTCGACGTTCGCAAACTTCCTGCCAGTTTGCCTCAATATTTCGCCGGCTAGTTACTAGAAATTACGCAAAATTAACTTGACCTGTAAGACCCCTCAGGCTCTAAAGGCAAAAATCGTTCCGGAAAATCGTTCCGGAACGATTTTCCGGAAAATTACCGGAACGATTTTCCGGAAAATTACCGGAACGATTTTCCGGAAAATTACCGGAACGATTTTCCGGAAAATTACCGGAACGATGTTCCGGAACGATCCGTAATTCCGGAACAACGTTCCGGAAATTTCCGTTTTACGAAAAAAAAATCGTTCCGGAATTCCGGTTTTCCGGAACCTTTTCCATAATGGAAATGGAACAAATTTCCGGATCATTTCCGTACGTAAACCGTAACCCGGAATTCCGGTGGAAATCCTATGCAGAAAACTTTTTAAAAGTTAATTTTGATGAGTTTTCTGACTCTAAAAGAAAATTTATATTTTGCCTTAAAGTTTCTGGAAAACAAATTATTTTGTATTTGAACGATTTTTTTTGTATGTAATTTACAAACAAACTTTCAAATGTGAAGTTGGTTGAGTTTTCTCGATCCAAGAAACTACAGTGCAGTGTTTACTTTTTTCGTTATGAAATGTACTGCAGAAATCTCTATATCCTTGTTTACAAAAAGTGAACTGCAGTTTCAGTGATCAAGTTCTTCAACAAAACTCCATACAAATCAAAGACTTTGCTAATTAAAGCATCAGAAAATCTACGAAAATTCTACGCAATTGGTCGGTGAGCGAAAGAATAACAAAAGTCGTCTAATCTAATAATCCAATGCTTACTTTCTGTGATAATTTTTTTTTATCTCCCATAGCCCCCCCCCCTGAATACGTCTCTGACTGTGCGTACATATTGAAACCAGTTCTCTCTAAGTAGAATTTGTAAATAGATGGATCAGATCAGTGTTCGTTTGGTATCCGAGGAGGTTAAAAGCATTAAATTTTGATAATTTTGATATTTCACATAATAGTTTCCTTTGACCGGAATATTTTATTGATTTTTTATGTGAAAGATGGATCCCATGTCAGGCTGTGACATCCGTCTTGTGTTTACATTAACGCCCAGAGAGACAGTACACTGCAGTACAAAAGATACGTACACCTCTGAAATAACTTTCCTTGCATTATAACCTTGAGCCTGGGTAGTATCTGGGTGAACTGGTCATCTGGGTGTGTTTACATTCATCTCAGAAACTTCAGTACACTTTATTTATTTGGTGCAGACACACATACATGACGTTTCCGCCCCCTGGGTTCCTATCATATTCTTTTGTCTAAAGCAGTTTGTTTACATTCCCATTATACTTGTAAACAAAGCTATGGCAGTTACTGGTACATTCTTTGATTTTAATTTAGTTCTTCTCAAAATATAGATTAGTAATAAACTTAACATTTGAATAGCTAGAGAAAACTGTACGTTTATTACACATACAGACAATAAGGATAGTACACCAACTGAGTAATCCCCATCTAGGGAGTACTAGTGATGTGACTTATTTTGCGTTTTTCACAAAAAGATGGACTTAAAGAAAAACTTAGCGTATCATAATTAAAGGTGGGTTTTGTTCAAATATTATCTCCATAAACAATATCATTAAACCTTAAATCAAACCTTTTTTAAATTATGTTTTAAAAATGTTGTATTATTTTTCTAAATCATTTCCGAGTATTTACCAAAAATCTTCATTTTCTGGTCCGTTTTTTCCGTTTCTGGAATATTTTCCACTGAAAAATGGGAACCCTGATTGATTAGGCGTAATTATACGGTAGATCATGAACATGCATTGTTCATGTATTGTTTCCTTGCAATGAATCAATTTCTTCGTTTACAAAAACTTCTTTCAGTAAAAAGTCATTTGTGCATCATGCAACAAAGACTTTAAATAGGACTAAAAGTCAAAGGCCAAGATTGAGTGGAATAACGAAACATATTTGCACTCAAAACTATATTATCAAGTTAACTGTTCAAACTGGATCAATTAATAAATTTAATCTAAATATACACAACATTCACCTGCGGCGTATATATTTCCATCAGACCCTTCTGATTCAATACTTGATGATTACTGGCTTTATCTTGGTGTCCAACATAGTCGGTAATGCTCCGTTCTACCTCGGAAATGTGTCCTGCTTGATCTTGGGGTCCAACATAGTCGATAATGCTCGATTCTACCTCGGAAATGTGTCCTGCTTGATCTAGGGGTCCAACATGGTCGATCATGCTCCGTTCTACCTCGGAAATGTGCCCGGCTTGATCTTGGGGTCCAACATGTCGATCATGCTCTGTCTACCTCGGAAATGTGTCCTGCTTGATCTTGGTGTCCAACATGGTCGATCATGCTCCCTTCTACCTCGGAAATGTGTCCCGCTTGATCTTGGGGTCCAACATTGCTCCCTTCTACCTCGGAAATGTGTCCCGCTTGATCTTGGGGTCCAACATGGTCGATCATGCTTCGTTCTACCTCGGAAATGTGTCCCGCTTGATCTTGGGGTCCAACATGGTCGATCATGCTCCCTTCTACCTCGGAAATGTGTTCGGCTTGATCTTGGGGTCCAACATTGCTCCTTTCTACCTTGGAAATGTGTCCCGCTTGATCTTGGGGTCCAACATGGTCGATCATGCTTCGTTCTACCTCGGAAATGTGTCCCGCTTGATCTTGGGGTCCAACATGGTCGATCATGCTCCGTTCTACCTCGGAAATGTGTCCGGCTTGATCTTGGGGTCCAACATGGTCGATCATGCTTCGTTCTACCTCGGAAATGTGTCCGGCTTGATCTTGGGGTCCAACATGGTCGATCATGCTCCCTTCTACCTCGGAAATGTGTTCGGCTTGATCTTGGGGTCCAACATGGTCGACCAAGCTCCTTTCTACCTTGGAAATGTGTCCTGCATATTATTTTGAAGGAATTAGAGCACTGATATACCTCAAAGATTTTTTTGTGTCTTTATATTCTAATTATTAAATAGGTATTTATTATCTAATTCAAGTCTTGTATTTTATTTTCAATAGGATATCCGGAATTATTATGGCTTTATTTCCCATGACTTTTTTCCAACGGATTCAAGTAATTATTTTGGACTAGTAATTATTTTCTACTACGTTTTTGTTCAAAATACTTTATTTCTCATAACTTACTTAGATGGATAAAGCCTGTATAAACTAGAATGATTATAGGATTTAATTCTTTCCTTTACTTTAAGTTCTACACGAATAGAAAAAAAATCCTAACATGTTCTTAACAATCTTGAACATTTTAAAAATGATAATATTTTGTTTCAAATTATGAACAGAAATTGACCTTTAGTTTTTCCTTAGATTTACAAAAAATACTTAATATGATGATTTTGTAAAAAGAAAGGTCAAAAAAACATGGCAAAAACGAGATTTTAATAATTTTTTTTTTTATTATTTTTCAGTTCTAAATGGTTTATTCATTTGTTTTTGTGCTATAGTTTTAGACCAATTTTCGTTACCTCCAATGGCCTAGAATCCAATTTGTCAACGATTTTATTAATACAAAAGGATGGGTGTAGAAACTTCGGTAGGGAGTCAGTGACTAGTTGATTAGTCAATTAGTGAACTTTTTTGATTTGTTGATTGGGCTCCTTAACTTGGACACAAAAGGTGCAAATAATCAGATAAAGGGATATATTTATACATACAAAAAATACAGATATAGTAAAAATAAATGTTGATCTATAAGATGATGTTGAATGTTTGTTTAGATAACTTACTATTTAGACGTATCACGATAATTAAGGAGTGATTTGGGTTCACAGGATTTGATAAATCAGTTTAAACATTTGCAAATACTTCTGAAAATATATACCCTGTTCTTTAAGTTTAATTACTATGGATTGCAAAGTTATTTGTGGATTTAATTATTTACTTTGTTAAAACGTTTCACTATTTTATGTTTTTCCTTTTGTCGGAGTACAGAGAAATTGCCGGAGTATTGCTTTGGTTTGGATTTTTCTGAGACGATGTGTTGGTAAATACGACATTATGTGGTGGGGTTAGAAGGTAGATTCATGGTCAACAAGGGGTTTTTGGAAGTATTAGATGAAGTTTTTGTAACTGAAAACTGAAAACACATCTTATCCCAAAAACCTACTATTACGCATTATATTGAAATCTTTTAACTATGCTGTAAAAATGTGAATATTCATGAATTAAAGAGACCGTTCTCTTCATGTTTAGTGACCCTTCGTTTTTTTAAAAGGGAGGTGTGTCTGATTCACATCATTACCCTTAAACCCATTATCTGATCAATAATGTGGTTTGAAAAGTATTTAATTTAGATGATTTTATATGGGTTTCATGGGCAAGATATGAACAAATCACTTATGTAGAGAAATCACAAAAAAAAGTATTTACATAAACATACGATACATATTTTATAATTCAAAGTTTTCAAGGGTTCTGTTGGAAATCGGACATGCCTCTCTATAAATGGAGGGTCACTTGAAATTAAGTTCACAGTCCCTTTAAGAAAAGAAAAAAATGACTGCAGCAATAAATGTCTTTATGAAAAATAAAAGCAAAAGTTTTAAAATAAATCATGGAATAAATAATTATCTAACAGTGAACTTTCAACAGTGAAGCAAATAAATACTAAATATATTTAAATCGAGTTCAATCAGAACAAAATACGTTTTTAACACATTACAGAAGGAATTGGGCACATTTTTTAAATTACAGAAGGATTTCAGCACGTTTTAATCATTGATATAAACATATAGTGCCATTGTACAAGTACACATAATATACTAGGTTTCCAGGGCGCTTCAGGTTTATCTGGAACTTTTAATTTTTGCTCTTATATCGTGATTTTTTCGCTAAATCTAAATTATTCGATTATTATTATTATTTTCTCCATCCATATAAACCTTCTAAAACGAATAACAACCCTAAACAATGCATAAAAAAATAAACCATGCATATTATGTTTTGTGATTTACTAGATGTTGTAAAATGAATCAAAGATATGTGTTTACATTGCTGGCTAGTCTTGGTAACTTACTGTCCCTCTGTGGTAGGGACTCAATGAGGTATATTTATTTTAAAGGGACTCTGAGCGTAACTTAGACTGACCCTCCATGCAAAGATGTCAATGCCCGATTAAAACCTTTATCTGATCAAAAATGATGAAGATACAGTCGTTTTTCTGACTCGAACAGTGTTTATTTCCGTAAACTTTTCCCATTGCTTATTATAAGCAAGAAATGCTCAAGTCACTTTTATCGAAAAACCGCAAATGAAAATAATCAGTTTTAAGGAACAAATATCTACACAATTATCTATTAGCTATTAAGACGACTCATAAACACCATTTATTATAAGCATTCATTATTCGAAGCAGAAAATGGTCATTTCTAGCATTTCTACGGGTGGACATTCTAAAAGTTTTATTTTTCCCCCACTTTGTTTTGAATTAAGAGTATTCGTCCAAAATATATGATTTTAGGCTGACTGTATTATTGATGAGGCAAGAATATCTTAAATGTTCCAGTCCAGACAATTCTTCTCGTTCTTACCATTTACCAGACAACCATCCCTACCTCGCGTCAGACACCAATGCTTATCCCTACCTCGCCTCAGACACCAATCCCCATCCCTACCTCGCTTCAGACAATGAAAACAGAATAAATCTCACAGCAGTAAATGTTCAAGAAAACACAGTTTTCAATGTTAGGAAAAATATTTTTAAAAATAATTTAATTCAAAATACAAAAAAATATGAAACCATCAATCGACATCAAAGGAATTAATCACTTGCGGCAAACTCTAATTTTCTAATTCTTATATCCTTAAAACCTGGCGTTTTCAGATACAAGTTCTGCCATATCAAATAGATCATCAGGTTGCAAAGATATAGGTATTAGAAAATAAGAGTTTGAGGCAAGGAATCTGTATAAACATTTAAAATCTAAAGTCTTTAATTTATTTTTTTGACTAGTGATTTGGTAGGATGGGATGAAAAGAGTATTGTAAGACGATGTGGAACTATAGAATATTCAGAACTAGAAATTGCAGCAATTCGCAGGAAAACAAATATGCAAATATTCATTAAAGGAATTCAGGGGCGTATTCAGGAATTTGTTTAGGGGGGGCCTTAAATTTTTTATCTTTCCAGTGGGGGATCAGCACCCGTTGGGGCCTGAAAAAAAACCCTGAAATCAATAGATTTCACTGCCCCCCCCCCCCCCCCTGAAAGAAATTGTTGGAAGAAATGAGAAATCAAAATACTAAATAGTTTATTTAAACCCACAGAGGCCAGCCAGGGGTTCATACTAATCTCATCCAATACGATGCCAAATGTTGACTGATTGATATTAGGGGCAGAAATTAACCAAGGTGATGTAAACAATTTGAAGCATGATGTTAACAAGGAACTTTATACAGGAACGCCCAACTCAGATATACGCAAATTGTGTACTATACACTGTGGGAGGAATGTAAACAAACCCAGTGCCCCCACAGAAGTTGAAGGGAAAAGACTAATTAGCTCTGATGTGATATTACAGTCCAACAAAAAACAAGTTAATTTATCAAGTTAATTTATCAAGTTAGAGCGAATACATATGATTTTTGGCTTTCTGGTCAATATGGAAAATACAATAGCAATATATTTTTATTCCACCCCTTGGGCCCTTTACAAATGTCTGTTTATCATTTGTGTTATTGTTTACAATCTTTATTATTGATGTTACGCAAAAACTAGTTCTCCAGCAGTACAAAAACGTCACAGCAAAGTGTACGGAAACCCTATTGCCCCCTCATTGTTTTCAATTCTCCTTGATATTCAAGATACTAATGTAAGGAAAGTTAATTGCGGTTGTGTATACTCTGCGTACATATTGAAACCAGTTCTCTATGGGCGAAATTTGTAAACATGCATTATAGATGCATCAGTGTTCGTCTAGTATCCGATGAGGAGTAAAGCATTTAATTTTGATAATTCACATAACAGTTTCCTATGACCAGAATATTTCATAGATTATTTTTGTGAAAATGTATTCCATGTCAGGCTGTGGTATCCGTCTTGTGTTTACTTTTCCTCCCAAAGACAGTAAACTGCAGTACAATAAATGCGTACACCTCTGAAATAACTTTCCTTGCATTAGTACCCTGCTTATATTGATTACTGGTATTTACATCTTTCAACACCCCAAATGCAGTACATATATCTGAACTAGTAAATGTACACAAAATCTTACCAAAGTTCACAATGACACAGAAAGTGTACTTTCCTGGCCCTAAATGTTCTATTAACCCCAATCCCATTTGGGATCAGAAATGGAATTATATGGACCCAATCTAATCAACTAACTAACTTGTTTCTAAATCCCTCAAATAATGCATAATGAACCTTTTACTATTTAAAGCGAAATGTTCAACAGTAATTACTTTGATTAATTAATGCCTAATATTCATGCCTAATAATCATACCTAAAGTATTAAAAACTTCTATGGACAACATTATTGCTCGTTTGTGTAAAAATACGATTTATATTTTTTCTTTTGATTTAACTTCATAGAATGATTTTTCAATTAAACGACAATTTTATTCAATTTTAATTCTATAGCAATTAATACTTTTGATTGTACACACTGTTAGAAGAAGAAAAACAAAACCTACCGTTTGGTATCGAAATATCAATTTTATCAAGAGCCTTTTGAATTCCAAACAGAATGTTGTTGGGCCAAACGGGATACAGAAATTGTCGCACTGTAAACTCTGGTTAATTCATTTCAATTACCGGGCCGATTTTAAATCAGCTTCAGCAAGCTTTACAGTACATATACTTGCTTTATAAGGCAAAGCGGGACGGTAATCCAAATGAATAAAAGTGAAATTTTGTGCGATTTTACTTAGGAATATTGATGGAACTTCCATTAAAATAAATTGTACTACAGTTTCTGGGAGGAAATGTAAACACACACAGTGTTGCCAAGTTTGTTTACCTTTCTCCCAGAAACTGCAGTACATATTATTTTAGGAAAGTTATTGTTACACTCTTTGTAAATTAGAAGAATATTTTGAATATGGTTTATGTTTGTTATGAAAAATTTCTAATGATTACTAAAATAAAAGGTTATATATTTTTTCTATAGTGCATTCAATATTGGTGTCATGATAACGGGAGTTGGAGGAGCGTTTTGTGACGTTTTCAGGAATTAATAACATTTTGATTTCATAGAATTTTATATCTTTTTCATATGTTATTTTGTTTTCATTATAAACGCTTTTCTTGTAAATTTCCTGAACAAAGTTTGAGGCAAATCGGTCAAGGGGCATGATTTATGATGGGAGATACGAAAAGACGGAAAAACTTATATTACTTTTTATTTAGATATGCAGATATCATGGGATTAGCTCTGAGGGATTTATAATCAATAAAATATCTTTAAGGTCGTGCTAAGACTAACACGTTTAAAAATAAAAAAAAATTAAAAATTTTTTTAAAGGTTTTTAATAAGTTTTTTATTAATGATGATTTACAGTGGGAAAAAGATTATGACCGTAGTTGGAATTGTTCAAGGCAAGGAATATATTAAATCAGGAACTTAAGTCCTAGCTGTCCTGGCTGTCTTCTTAGATAACAATAAGTAAAAAAGAAATGTTACAGCATAAAGTATGAAATATATTTAAGAATGAGAAGAAACGATTTAAAAAATTTAGAAATAATTTATAATTCTAAAATATAATGTACTGCAATAACTTGGAGGAATATAAACAAAGCTTAGTCTGAGCTGTTTTGTGTTTGTTTACATTCCTCCCAGATACTGCAGTACACTTGTAAACACAGCTATGACCATGAGTGTTCCTGATATATTTCCTTGGATTAAGGAATCTGTAATATCTTAATACCAACCAGTGCCGCCATATGCCTTCCTATACTTCTCTTTAATCAGGTTTTTTATAACAATTAATTTTTAGCATTTTTTATAAAGTATCTGAAACTTGACATCAAATCGAATAGTATTGGCAAACTTATTTTCTAATTTTTTGTAAACTCTTTGTGACATAATACTCTTCAGTTTTATAAATTTATGGAATCTAATAAAGATTTTAACAACTAAATTGTTATCATTTTATAACATTCCGGGAAAATTCATAAAATGAATGTCAAAAATATTTCTTGTGAATAAAACAATCGATCAAATGTCACACTTTTTTGTCAGCTTTTCCACTCTTGAACTTGAACTTCGGACTGTTTTATCATTCTTGATGAAATAACTAGATTTGCGTATTTTTGACAAGAATATTTACAGATTTTATTTTATTACATTTTACATGTTTTCAGTTAATCTTTTAACAGAATGAAAATTTTATTAAAAATTAAATCTGAAAGATTGAAGTATTTTCAGATTTATGAATCAATGCTACATAGATCAATGGCGATTTTATGCTCGTCAATTAATTCCCATATTTATTGGGACACCCTGAATAGTATGTACCCGTATTTATTTGGACAACCTGTAATTGATGCCCATATTTATTGGGACCCCTTGTTTATTATTTCCATATTTGTTTCGAACACCCTGTCCCATAATTATTGGAAACCCCTGTAGCTTCTTCCCTTATTTATTTGGACACCCTTTAATAAATTCCTATAATTAAACTCCCAAATTTATTGGGACTGCAACCTGTAGTTCATTCCCTAATTATTTCCCATATTTTTAGTTCCTATATCAATCGGGACACCCTCAAACTAATTCTCTTATTTATTAGGACACCCTGTAGTTAATCTTAGCATTTATTAGAATACCATGTAGTTAATTCCCATATTTATTTGACCATCCTGTAGTTTGTATCTGGTTTGGCTGGTGGGTTTGTCTGTGCATGTTTAACCTCGATGTTGGCAAGATGGGAACCAAGGTAATATTTTTAAGTTTCCAAGTTTAAGTTTCCGCATCAATTTGGATCCGTAGAGGCCATACGAAACCTTTTCTCAAGCTGCTGTAGAGATAAAAAAACTTTAAATTTAAGGGCGGAACCAAACTTAATCGAATCAAGACTCAATTTAACATGTATGGTACACAAAGCTAGGTGTATCATGCTGATAAAAGTTTACCGAACGATTAATCCGGATCAATTCCATAATAATAATCGATCAGAGCTGAAAACCTAAGAATGGGATATCCTTAATCCCGATCGCTTAATCAATCTGGAGATTAATAACAAGAGGAGAACAAGCATTATTTAATCTCGAGATTAAGAAAAAGTGTGGATCAAGCATTAATCCGATATCCACCATTTAAAAGTTCCCAGCTCTGTACCCTTTTTTTTAGCATTTTCACCTAGCTCTGTTAAACATTTCACTGTAGACTCCGGTTCATTTCAAGTACCAGCCAGATCTTTAACAGCTGGAGCAAGCTGTACAGTACACAAACAGACTACATAAGGCGAAACGGGACGGTACGCCAAATGAGCCAGTCCCTTCTAGGAAGATTCTTTACTGACCTATGCACTATGGACCGGAGTATAGATTTATTTAAGTGTTGCGTTGACATCTCTTTTTTGACAGCTTCAGGAAAAGTTCCGCAAGGCCATTACGGATCCAAATCGATCTGGAAAAATGGAAACTCCAGTTCTCACAAAAGACAAGTGTAGAAAACTGCCCTTGGTCTAAATATAAAAATATGTTGAACAAAATATAGGAATTTCTTAGAAAATTTTTACTTCATTTTGTGTTCTTGTGATCGAGATTTCTTACGAACAAATAAGATATTTTTATACTTCAGAGACAGAAACAAAAAGTTACATAAAGACCAGTAACCAAAATTTCTAGTGACTCTAAATTTTAAAAGTACATATCCGATTATAACGGTACCCTAATCTGATTAAGGATGAATGATAGACTCTTATGTGATTAGTAGTTATTTAAAATCAATCGTGGATGGTTTCTTTTATAAAAAGTGACTTCCAAATTTCATTAAAATTGTCAAAATCCAGCACTTTATTCAGGGTGCCCTTGTGAATTGAACATATTGGGTCGCTTGAAATTAGGTCTAAAATCCTGTATTTTTGATTAGCTGTGAAAGAGGATTGTTATCAACAATAATATACACTGCTAGCCCTGGTTGCTTAGTGATGACGTCATTACTTACCGGAATTACAAGCCAGATAACAAATTGGAGGTAGATATACAGGATACAGATTGGAGGTAGATATACAGGATACAGATTGGAGGTAGATATACAGGACATAGATTGGAGGTATATAAACAGGACATAGATTGGACGTATATATACAGGACATAGATTGTAGGTATATATACAGGACATAGATTGGAGGTATATATACAGGACATAGATTGGAGGTATATATACAGGACATAGATTGGAGGTAGATATACAGGACATAGATTGTAGGTAGATATACAGGATACAGATTGGAGGTAGATATACAGGATACAGATTGGAGGTATATATACAGGACATAGATTAGAGGTATGTATACAATCATAGATTGGAGGTATATACAGGACCTAGATTGGAGGTATTTATACAGGACATAGATTGGAGGTAGATATACAGGATACAGATTGTAGGTATATAGACAGGACACAGATTGGAGGTATATATACAGGACATAGATTGGAGGTAGATATACAGGACATAGATTGAAGGTATATACAGGACACAGATTGGAGGTAGATATAGAGGATACAGATTGGAGGTAGATATAGAGGATACAGATTGGAGGTATATATACAGGACATACATTGGAGGTAAGTACACAGGATACAGATTGGAGGTAGGTATACAGTATACAGATTGGAGGTAGTTGTACAGGATACAGATTAGAGGTATATACAGGACACAGATTGGAGGTATATATACGGGACAAAGATTGGAGGTAGATGTACAGGATACAGATTGAATTAGGTATACAGGATACAGATTGGAGGTAAGTTTACAGAATTGAGGATATACATTGAAGAAGGTTTTACAGGATACAGATTGGAGGTAGGTATACAGGATACAGATTGGAGTTATGTAAACAGTATTAAGGATACAGATTGGAGGTAGGTATACAGGATACAGATTGGAGGTAGGTATACAGTATAGAGGATACAGATTGGAGATAGGTATACAGGATACAGATTGAAGGTATGTAGATAGTATTGAGGATAAAAATTGGAGGAGGCTGTACAGAATACAGAAATTAGAGGTAGGTATACAGGATACAGATTGAAGGTGGGTTTACAGGATTGAAGGAGAGGGTACAGGATACAGATTGGATGTAGGTGTATAGGATACAGATTGAAGGTAGGATACAGTTTGAGCTGTAGGGTTAAAGGTTTGGGTACACAATACAAATTGAAGGTATTGAAACAGATAACAGTTTGAAGAAGGGAAACAGAACACAGATCAGATATTTCATTTGTATTCCAGTTTAAAGGTAAATGATTGTTCCTAACATATAACTTTTTATTTTTATGATAATATTATTATTATTATTATGATTATTATTATTATTATTGTTATTGTTATTATTATTAATATCAAAATTATAATTATTGTTATTATTATTATTATTATTATTATTATTACTATTAATATCATTATTATTATAATTATTGTTATTATTATTATTATTATTATTATTATTACTATTAATATCATTATTATGTTGTAGTTGTTGTTGTAATTTTGTTGTTGTTGTTATTGTTATTGTTATTGTTATTGTTATTGTCATTGTCATTGTTATTGTTATTGGTATTGTTATTGTTATTGTTATTGTTATTGTTATTGTTATTGTTACTGTTATTGTAAAAATAATTATGATCATTTTCTTTATGAAGAAGTCAGTATTATGGATTTGGTGTGATACAGTTGGCCTGGTTAGTTCCTTGGTGGTTCTTGGTTCATGATTCTCCGGATATACATCCTAGGTTTAGTATTTTAGAACAATCCCTATAATACATCCTAGGTTTAGTATTTTAGAACAGTCCCTTTAATACATCCTAGGTTTAGTATTTTAGAACAGTCCCTTTATTACATCACAGGTTTAGTATTTTAGAACAGTCTCTTTAATACATCCTAGGTTTAGTATTTTAGAACAGTCCCTTTAATACATCCCAGGTTTAGTATTTTAGAACAGTCTCTTTAATACATCCTAGGTTTAGTATTTTATAACAGTCCCTTTAATACATCCTAGGTTTAGTATTTTAGAACAGTCCCTTTAATACATCCAAGGTTTAATATTTTAGAACAATTCCTTTAATACATCCTAGGTTTAGTATTTTAGAACTGTCCCTTTAATACATCCTTTGATATATACCATATCACATGTATATGAGATTGGCATAATTATGACACAGTTTTATATCAATTTCTAGAGACAGGAACATCAGATAGAACTAAAAGTGGTCGTGATGAACTCCTAACATTTTAGGCTTCAGCATTTAAACCTTTCATTTTACCTAATGCTTAGAATTACCCTTATAATACCCTTAAGGCTAATTAAGGCTATTTAATCACTTTGCATAATTAAAGGGACCGTTCACTTATTTGGGTAATGTAAGGTAAACTAAATAGCCTACTAGCTATTTATTAGTATTAGTCTAACTTTTCAACGACAAGTTGACGGAGAAAAATCCGATCTTTCATTCAGAATTCCAGCGCAAAGGTACGTTTGCACCATTTGATGCATTTTGTCATAGGCATGGATTTTTAAGGATTTTAAAATATAAAATCTTTTTTTTAGAATAAATGAGAAAGAAAAACGGCTTTTGTTGGATCATACAGATATCGCTGTTTCCAGACCAAGCATCTCACAGATACCTCTACTTAGGTAGGTAGGTAGGTATGTAGGTAGGTGGGTGGGTGTGTAGGTGTGTAAGTAGGTAGGTAGGTAGGTAGGTAGGTAGGTAGGTAGGTAGGTAGGTAGGTAGGTAGGTAGGTAGGTAGGTAGGTAGTTACGTAGGTAGGTAGGTAGGTAGGTAGGTGGGAAGGGAGGTTTGTAGTAACATAGGCAGATAGCGGTTAAGGTATTATAGATAATTGAAAAACAGAAAAAATTCCCATTCGGTTAAAGTATCAATAAAATTTAAAAATGTTGGACTCAAAAAATTTTTCTGCATATTTATATTATCATTATAGTTTCTTAAAGCCTTTTGGTTACTCCTTTCATTTGCTTCAAACACTTTTATGACAATTTTCTGCATTTCTGCAGCATTATTTTACCAAATTTTTGCAAAATCATAACAAGATTTTAAAATATTCCATCTGGGTCATCTTTTTTCAAGCATTTCAGAAGCGAAAACGACCTATCAAGGCCTATAACCACATACTAAAAATTAAATGAGATTTTTTTGTCTTCAATTCTTTTCGATATGTTGAGCACTGGATTAGTATTTTTTCTATCGATTTATATTTGAAATCCTATAAAGTCCTCCTGTCCTCCTGTCTGGGGACAAATAGCTGCTAATATGGGAAATATATTGATTTATATCTAGGATCCTATTGAGTCCTCTTGTTTGGGGACAAATAGCTGCTAATATGGGAAATATATTGGTTTATATCTAGGATTCTATTGAGTCCTCCTGTCTGGGGACAAATAGCTGCTAATATGGGAAACATCTGGGTGAAATCCTTCTACGAACTGCTCCCTCAGTACCTGGAGGAGTTGGGAGTAAAGATGATGTTTAATGGTTTTGTATCAGCTCTACCCCCTTTAGGTAGATATAGTGGGACCCCCGTATTCATGGAAGCTTCAGGAGTTTAGGCTGCTTAAAGGAACTGTAAAGGAATAATCAAATGGGGTATAGGCTGAAACCTAAGCATTTTAAGGAGTTGATCGAGACCCAAGAGACCTGTCTCGAGAAATTGATATAAAGCTGTGTCAAAATTATACCCAAACTCACATGTGTGAGATTTGTTATGAGAAACTAAATTTTAAACAGATCATATTGAGCAAATACCCGACCAATCTGAAAACAACAATATCCCAGAGGAGAAAGAAAAACTCAGGTTTTCTCCTTTTATAGTTTGAATTTAATAATTTTTCCTTTTTTAATATATAATTGATAATATAATTAATACGTCTGTATCACGTGATCAGAACTTCAATCAATGGCGGTGCAGTATCATGGTCATGTGTCTCCGTCCAATACCAAATCTCACATGTATCAGGTTTTGGTATAACTTTGACACAGTTTTATAACAATTTCTCGAGACAGGAACATAAGATGAATCAAATAGAACTCTTAAAGGTCCCGATCAATTCCTAAAATGCTCAGGTTTCAGCCCATACCCAGCCCATTCAGTGTTTCGTTACAGACCCTTTAACGTATACTTTAACTTATACTTTAATGTATACTTTAACGTATACTTTATCTTATACTTTAATGTATACTTTAACGTATACTTTACTGTATACTTTACCGTATACTTTAACTTATACTTTAACGTATACTTTAACGTATACTTTACCGTATACTTTAACATATACTTTAACATATACTTTAACGTATACTTTACCGTATACTTTAATGTATACTTTACCGTATACTTTAACGTATACTTTAACATATACTTTAACGTATTCTTTAACGTATACTTTTTGTACCTAGTGTATTTAGTATATTTATGTCAACCAAGTCTCCTTACAGTACATTTAGTATATTTATGTCAATCAAGTCTCCTTACAGTGTATTTTGTATATTTATGTCAATCAAGTCTTCTGACAGTGCATTTTGTATATTTATGTCAATCAAGTCTCCTTACAGTGTATTTTGTATATTTATGTCAATCAAGTCTTCTGACAGTGCATTTAGTATATTTATGTCAATCAAGTCTCCTTACAGTGTATTTTGTATATTTATGTCAATCAAGTCTTCTGACAGTGCATTTTGTAAAGTTTTTAATTCTTAATATCCTGTTCCTAATTGTGTAGGAAGTGTAATAATGGGTCTACTAGCCTCCAGATTGTTTAATTGGGCAAATTCAACACATATTTCATTATCTTTAGCTAGGTGAAGTACACTGTACAATTCACACTGCCCCGGAAGCGATTTTGACTTCGTTGTTTCAACCATTTGTCTAATTAGCATATTTACGCGATTGAAACCGGCATGAGTCAGAAAATACAATCAAATCAAAATTCCGCTGGACCATCTAAATTTCAAATAAAAACAAAACAGTGAAGCGATCGGAATTAGTTAATTTGAAAAATAGAAATATTAAGAATTTCTGATCTTATAATGAGTAGATAAAAAAATTGTTTTTCACGCTTTTTTTTGATTCAGTGAAATGGAAACCAACAGAAATGTAAAGTGGATAAATAGCTTGATATTTGTTATCGTGCTAAAATATCATGGATTTTTATGAGGTCAAAAACCCAGCATTGAAAGAAGAAATTTGTATCAATCATTTTTTTCTTTTCCTTCAAAGCTGTAAAATAGGGTTTCAAAAACACAATATAAACAAAAAAAAGACTTAAGTTGTTTTTATTTTGATTATTAGTAGCTGCTTCCTCAAAGTTTCCCTAATTCAGATCCAGTGCTATTTTGGCCGTAATAGCCAATGGGCCCGATCAAATATTTTGATAAAGCGTTTCATTTATCTTTTAGAATAAAGTATAGAGTTGGTCGTTAAAACTTTTTCAAAATCGCTTCCGGGGCAGTGTGAATTTATCAATTACTTTTTTTTCTAAAAATGCTTTTTTTCAAACTGACACTATTTATGACATTTGCGTCGGTAATTAATGTTTCCCTTTTAAAGGGACCGTACACCTCTGCAGTGAACCTCCAACCATGAAACAGTGTCAAGAAAACTGAAAAGTTTTCCTTCAGCTCTTTATAATAACTAGGCTATTATAGGCCCTTCATGTCCAACTTCTATTTCAACTTTTAATAGCTGCACTCAATCTTTAGCATTTTTCTTCAATAAAACAAAAACAATTTTTTTCCGATTTACAAATTTTTTTCCGTGGAATTCTGAATTCTTCAAAATTCATAATTTAAAAATAAATACCGACAAGGAATATATCTAATCAATATTTTTCGTGGGTTTAAACCAGGGAGTAAGGAATTTAAGGATATACAACTGACGCGGTTCGCCCTACCAGGCTAACATATAATTATATAGGTTGTCCCAAAAAACATGGGAACAAAGTGACGAATTCGATATCGTCTTTGTTATGAATTAGCATTGTAATACCTAATTTCAAACCCATAATATTATTATGTCTGCTAGAGTTTATTTTATGAAAAGGGTAGAAGACTGTAAAGATGTGTCTATAATGTCTCCGCAAGATGAGCAGTGAAGACGGACAAGTTTACTCTGTTTGTATACCGTAATTTTCTTGTTTTACTTAGTACAACCGTATGCAGTCAAAACATAAACAAACAAAATGTGAACATAGCAGACGAAACTCTTACAGATTACAGCTTTCTCAGTAGGTATCAATATCCTAAATCAAAGAATTATTTAAAAAGAAGATATCGAATTTGTCACTGAATTCCCATGTTTATTGGGACACCCTGTTCATGCTTTGCAGACGGTACTTAATTTAAATTTCGAAATATTTGTCTGATGTACCGCGTATACAATAACCTATTCTGAATATTTCTTATACAAATGTAGTACCCGTCTGCAAAGCATGCACAATCATATGGTAGGGCGAAGGTAATTTTTAGTTAGAAAAATATATCTCCGTCACCGTGTCACGCTTGATCAAAGTTGTAAATTGACATTTCTAAACATGCAGTTATACTACATGGTGTCCCAATAAACATGGGACAGGGACAAATTCGATATCGTTTTTTTAAATAATTCTTTGATTTAGTATACCTACTGAGAAAGCTGTAATCTGTAAGAGTTTTGTCTGCTATGTTCACATTTTGTTTGTTTATGTTTTGACTGCATACGGCTGTACTTCCCATGTTTTTTGGGACAACCTGTACAATCCTTTCAACAGTAAAGCAACAATTTTCGATCTTTAAGTTTTTTAACCCATGAAGTACAAAATTAAAAAAAGTTAAAAGTAAATCTTTGAAGTTTGTCGATATATTTCGATAAAAGGTTGTGACTCACCAAGGTTTTATTATCAGGGGAAAGTACAATAAAAATATTTCCAATACAATATTCATACATTGAATTCCTTACTACAGTTAAGTTCAAAAAAAGACATCGGAAGCATTTATAAAATGTTGAATTCTTAACTTTCTGAAAATGGAATGCTGCAGATATTTAGTTTTTTTACGTAAATGATTATTTGGAGCTCTTTAAAACTGTTCCCGCTTATTCATGGTTTTTTTCATTTTTTGCAATTATTTTTATCCACGTATAATAGAATAAAACCCTTTGAACAATTGGGAAGACGACATTTCATAAGTTCTTTCGATGGCTCTATTTCTCTGTGGTAAACTGTGTATGTAAACACTAGAACAACATGTTTCTTAAGTTTTGGGAGGGTGTCCATTGTCCAAACATGGGAATTAAGAGAAAAAAATTAAATCGTCAATCACACACGACACGGCTTTAATTCCTGAGTTGAAATTTGAAAACCTTAAAATAATATTTCCCTTGTTCTGGGATTTTCAAATGTGTTCTGATTGTTTTAAACTATCAAACTGATGGTAAAGAGACTGACCGTCGTAATTCTTGCTGAACCTCCATTAGAGGGTTATGTCGGATCCACAACGGTACCATTTAAACCTTTATTTGATCAATAATGTGGAAGATAGCGTTATTTTGCTTAAAGCGGGTTTAATTCTGATGATTCATTTAATGTTTCTGAAACAAGAAATGCGGTATTTGATCTTAAGAGATATGACCGCGCGACGTTGTTTTAATTCATAATCTTTTTTATTTTTTATTTATTCAAATAATTGAGCTGAATATACAATAGAATTAATTTACAACCTTTATAATATGTAGATATTGATTATATATTTCTTATTATTATTAATTTTCTGATATTTTTAGGAAAATATCTTCAAGTATTTGTTTGTTTGGATTTTCTGTGCTAACCGCCTCAATACCCTTGCTGGGACCTGAACCACCAACTTTTATCATCTTTGTAACTACAGCTGCATACTTTCTAACAGGTTAATTCTCTTTTTATATCTTGTTTCTAGTAAACAAATCTTATTATGGACTCAGGTAAATGGATTGTTAAGGACTAAAGATGGCAAAAGAAAAATCGACTAATTATGCACGACGTCACAAGTGTCAAATGTAAGAAGAAAGACGACATTTTGTCCAACTAGTTGATAATGATATGATTTTTGAAGTAAACAAAGAACACACGAAATTGCACATATTTCGCTAAAAGATAAGCACTTAAGTCTAAAATTATCACTTTTATTCATATCTAATCTTGTCAGACACAGAAATTGAGAAGGTGTACTGAGACTGTATAACGCATTCTTTTTTACCATCGATATTGTGCTTGACAATCTATTTGGGCGGAGGTTTATTGAAGTACCTTTCATAATCTTTATATAAATTTGGCTTGTCTGTCTGTTTGTCTGTCTGTCCGTTTGTATCCAATAAACGTCAAAACGGCTGAACCGATCGGGCCCAAATTTTTTGTGGGACATCTAGGGACCCCAGGGAAGGTTTATGAATGATCAAAATTTCAAATATTTGTCTCCCATCAAAATTCGATCTTCATTAAATTTTTTAAAATTTTGAAAATCCACTAAATTTTTTGTGAAAATCCGCGAATTATTTTTGTTTTGTTTTACGATGTACACAAAGATAACATGTTCACAATTAATTTAGGCTAGTACACGTATACTTCAACATATATATGTCATAGAATATATGCCATTTAACTTGAAATATTGAATAATAATATCTTAAATTGGCCCGATCAACGGTACCCTTTTATCCCGACCTTGAGCAGAAATGAGGAAGATATTCTTGCTTTTTATTTAAAAATTAGTATTTACGCTAAAATTTACTATTTTTCCCTTGAAAAAACCTTTCAATCGTGTTAATAAATCTTACTCTAGGATTCCATCTGGTCGGAGCTATGAACAATGCAATCGATTTATCTCCGAACTATGTTGGAACTATACTAGGGATCAACAGTTTCTTCATGTATCTTACTTCGTAAGTATACATTTATATGGAAACTGATCTTTGGAATATCCGAACAAATTATTTTCAAGTTTTTATAAAATCAATTAAAAAAACAACTCACCAAATAACTCACAGGTTTTCCCCCCTTCCAATTTTAACTATTTTACGCTAAACTTTGTTTAATCTATCCTGCAGCCCGGCAGAAAATAATTCGGCCTGAGCTGAAAACTTTAGGATATGGTGGATATCAAGATTAATGTTAAAACTCCTGGTTTTACCAAACCCAAGATTATTTTTAAACGCATTCGATATCCAAGAAAGAAGTTAAAAATTTAACCAATCAGCCAGAGGCGCAACTAGGGGGGATTGAAAACCCAGTTTTGATTTCTGGTGTTGATGATGTCGTATTAAGACTAACGTTCAAAATGACAGTAGTCCTAAAATGTTTTTTAATAATTTCGTAATAACATGATTAAATTTATATTTGTTTAAATGCTCTAAAAGCCGGCTTGTGAACAGCTGACTTTAATTCAATCGGATATTAGTCCAATCGATATATAGTATTGGTATCTGCAATTGTTATCAAACGTAACTTTTATACAGTAGAAATATCCAAAAATAGGATTATAAGAAGAAAATCAAAAGTGTGTACTTGGATAATCAGATTAAGCGATTGTGATTTAGGATATCTCATTCTAAAGTTTTCAGCCCTGTTTCTTGTAAGTTGTTCTTGTACAAAATGATTTGCATTAATTCCATTCTATATTTTCAGTCTTAAATTCCCAAAATCTTGTATGGCGCCATTTTGTTCTTTTACAATTATCAAATCTTTTTTAGATTTCTATTTATTAAATTAAACTAAATAATTCGACTCCCTTTGCCATTTTATGCAAAAGAGGTATAAGAAATTATTGAAGCTTATTTCAGTTGTCAGTAGATAGATACAAAGAGAATAGAATATATGTTAGAGTGGAATTTACTAGAAAAAAGTGTAAAACGGCCATTTTGTTGTACTGTTTCCATACTGCAGTTGTACTTCACATATTTGTGCTATAAAACCTTTTGGGCCTGGAACATCAAGAAAACTAAAATTAATTTTAAAAGAAACCCAAATTATGAAATAGACTGGTTTCATAATTGACCAATGATCATTTCACATTGGCTCTATGCCTTTCACTTTACAAACGATGATTTTCCGTTGTTACTATAAATCAAATGATGTTTTTTATTCACCTAATTCATTATAAAGTTTATATTACAGCTTTAAATAATTCGAAATTGAAATGGATAGTTTAAGGAACATGCAGTATTAATGTACTCTACTGCATATAATTTGTGAACATTTACATGATAAATTTACTGAAAAACATTCTATTAATGAACTTGTTATTTTATTAAGAACAACTGTATCATATTCTAAAGTGATCGCACTTCAAGTTCTTGACGAATCTCAGGTCTAGTAAACATTTTAATTTTAGCCTTTTTTTAGAGAAAAATAATTAAATCTTGACATTTTAAAACTTATTTTTGAGGGTGATCATTTTTCAATAAACCTTCGTTATGGAATCGGAAAAGTTGAGTAAAATCAACCCTTTTGTCATGGTTTTCCTTCTTTTTCAAATAAACAACAAAGTTTTTTGTGAGGTTCCATACGAATCATGTTTAATGTTAAACATTATTTAAAATTACAATTTTTACTTTGGGTGATCATATATGATTTAATTAGTCATAAGGTCTAATAAATGTTTAGTGAAACCCACCTTATTTATTCTGTCCTGTATAATTGCAACCTACTTAAATATAATGTTTAGTGAAACCCACCTTATTTATTCTGTCCTGTATAATTGCAACCTCTTTAAATATAATGTTTAGTGAAACCTACCTTATTTTCTCTGTCCTGTATAATTGCAACCTCCTCAAATATAATGTTTAGTGAAACCCACCTTATTTATTCTGTCCTGTATAATTGCAACCTCCTTAAATATAATGCTTAGTGAAACCCACCTTATTTATTCTGTCCTTTATAATTGCAACCTCTTTGAATATAATGTTTAGGTGTGGCCAGCCTTATTCATACTCTCCTATATGATTGCAACCTTTTTAAATATAATGTTTAGTGAAACCCACCTTATTTATTCTGTCCTGTATAATTGAAACCTCCTTAAATATAATGTTTAGTGAAACCCACCTTATTTTTTCTGTCATGTATAATTGCAACCTCTTTAAAGATAATGTTTAGTGAAAACCACCTTATTTATTCTGTACTGTATAATTGCAACCTCCTCAAATATAATGTTTAGTGAAACCCACCTTATTTTCTCTGTCCTGTATAATTGAAACCTCCTTAGATATAATATTTAGTGAAACCCACCTTATTTATTCTGTCCTGTATAATTGCAACCTCCTTAAATATAATGTTTAGTGAAACCCACCTTATTTATTCTGTCCTGTATAATTGCAACCTCTTTAAATATAATGTTTAGTGAAACCCACCTTATTTATTCTGTACTGTATAATTGCAACCTCTTTGAATATAATGCTTAGTGAAACCCACCTTATTTATTCTGTACTGTATAATTGCAACCTCCTTAAATATAATGTTTAGTGAAACCCACCTGATTTATTCTATCCTGTATAATTGCAACCTCTTTAAATATAATGTTTAGGTGTGGCCAGCCTTATTCATACTCTCCTGTATAATAGCAACCTCCTCAAACATTGTTTTTTTACTTCTTGGTTCTTCGGAACTTCAGGTTTGAAATATAGACTTGAAAAGTAAATGGCCTAGACTGGACTAAATAATTACACATATTTGTACACAAACTATATTTACAAGTTAAACACATACACACGATAAATTGGAAAAGATGAGTTAAAGCTGAACAGATATTCTAGCTCTACACAACATCCGCCTCCAACAGATATTCTAGCTCTACACAACATCCGCCTCCAACAGATATTCTAGCTCTACACAACATCCGCCTCCAACAGATATTCTAGTTCTACACAACATCCGCCTCCAACGGCGAATGTCTTTTGCATTGAACAAGGCTCTCTTCGTCATTTTATTGTCGAGACTGCCGGTCATCAGGCTTATCCAGGCAAAATCCTCCTATTCCACGTTGCAAGTAGAAAAACGTTGACCTTGGTAAGGTTTTAATAAGCCACGCTTAGACCATAGCGTGGCTTGGATTTATCACACTGCACAGTCGGAGCGTGACTTGTGGCTTGGCTTTATCTTCAACGGATACTTGCTTAAAACTAGAACATGCGGCAGTTGAAAACCGACCTACTGCTAACATGAACTATGGCTATATACAAATTAGCTGCTATGCTCACAACGGAACTACTTGCAATTCGAGTTCAGCTATGGGCCTGTATTATAAATGCAGGGATTGTGTCAACGGAACTACTTGCAGTCCAAGCTAACGTGGTTCTGAAACCATGTTGGTTCACAGTAAATTGAATATTTTAAAATGTGGTCTGCTTAAAAAAAATATAGTATAAGATCAAAATCTTAAAAAATTCTAAATAATTCAACTTTTATATCTCCTTGCTTTGCTTCCATAGGTATTACTAAAAATCTTTAACTAAAGACAATTTCAAGGTCCAATAATCTTATCATTTAATGATTGGGAAAAGACAGTAAGAAATTAAAAATTGCAGGGAACCATAAATGTGAGGAATAACACATTTTGAATTTTGTAAACATTCTTCTCTGAAGTCTCATCCTTTCTGGGTAACCCTGTAGATTCATTTACTATCGAAATACAAAGATAATTTGTAGGTTGTAACTTAATTATCATGTTTACTAGTACACCCTGTGTAGATTTTCAAGATATGTTAGATTTTAATTGTGCTAACGCCTAAAAATTTCTTTCAAATTTTTTTTCGAAGAATCCAAGTAAATAGATGTTTACAGACAAGACACAATTTTCGGAATTAGAGTTTCTAAACATTCATTTATTATCAATCTTGGCTAATTTTCTATCTTTTCTGTAGTTGTTAAAACTGTAAAATTTTTCTAAAATTATTCTCAGTTAAACTCTTTAATTCTAGGATTGGAACATGACGGCTGAACCTGTTAAAACTGTTGAGGATTTAAACGCAAACATTTCTGAAATAATTACAGAAAAGAGTTCAACGCCGAACTACGGATCCGCAAACCAATATTTAATAGATTAAACTTTTCAAATATTTGACTGACGACTGTACACAGGTTGACCAGGGGCGTATACAGGATTGAATCTAAGGGGGGGGGGGAGATTGTGCGAAGCGTAGAATTTTTTACCCCACCTTAAAAAATGTTAACGCCCTCCCCCCCATTTTGGGTCCAAGACAGAAATGTACTGGCGGATTTAAGATGGAAATATCAATTTCTTTTTTTTCAGTTTCTAGATTGGAAATCAAATTACGGGGGGATATGCCCCATCCTAGTGGCACTACCCCCCCCCTCATCCCCTGTATACGCCTTTCAAGTTGACAGTTGCTGAAGTACAAAAATAAACAATCTAAAAAAAATATCTGAACATTGTAACAAAGTTAGAACTTTGCCAATGAAATATTTATTTTAATTTTTGTCGTGCAATAATGAACTTTTAAAAAATGATTTTATGATATTTATATTTTGTCACATATCTGAATCATTTGGCCAATTTTCAGGTCTTCATTAGTGGATTTTTTAAATAAGAAAATTATTTCATTATACCCAAAAAACCCAAACAAACAAACAGCCACACAGGTTAAACAAACAGACAATTAAAATTGTATGGTTATTTTAACAGTTATTAGTTCACTAAAAAATAAATGTCCCCAGAACAAAGAGTTTTATCTGTTTTAATGCATTCTATAAAAAGAAATTAAGTTTCTTAACAAAAAAGTCGATTTTTAAACCTTGATGATAGATATATTTAAGGAAGATAATGTCTAGCAAATTAATTGAAATATTGGAAAATTGAATGTGATACAAATTTGAAATGTAATAATTGTAATAATGTTTATCTAGTTGTAGAATAGTTTTAAATAACTTTAATCAGTAATAAAAATTATGTTTAATGTTTATAAATATACATAAAAATCTTAATCAGCAATACTACCTGAGGCTTTTCGTTGTGAGGAATGGGGGGGGGGGGGGGGCTTTATGGGGAATTTATTATTAATAATAAACAAGAACTTCGTTTCCGTCTGAGTCTATCTGAGAGAAATTTTGGAACCTTATAAAGTCTAATTCTGACTTATTTGCAGTAATTTAATGACATTTTTTAAGTTTATACGCAGCTTACAATCATAGTTATAGAGGGTGCTGATTGGAACTTACTGGATTAATAATTGAGGGTAAAAAATTATATCACGTTAAGAGGTACAGGGTGTCCCACGAAATATGACAGTTGGTGAATAGTTTTTAAGGTCTTCTTTCATGATTTGTTAAGTTCTTTGATTTTATAGAAAATTGATTTCAAAGTAAAAAATATTTGAGTAAAAGAGTTTGTTAACGAAATAAACTGAAATATAAAATATGGAAGAAGACATTCAAAACCATTCACCAACTGCCATGTTTCGTGGGACACCCTGTAATTAAATGTCGGTAATGTTACTTCAGTCCTACTCGTCCTACAGTACTTCCATCCTACCCTTACTAAGACGGTTTTACAGAGTGTTTCAAGACTTCATACATAAGGAATTTAGACGATTTACAATCTTCTTTTTAAGCTTTAAAGTAAAAATAAATTTGTATTTTAACCGTAATAATAACACCAATGTCAGATTTCTAAATGGTTTAAAATTGTATTTAACTCGTTTTATAAAACACCAGTTAAGGACTTTTTACAAAGTTAACCAAGGGTTTAGACGTGTTTTTTTAATAGAGAAATAACCAATTTAAAATCTAACTGATTTAAACCGTGCTAATCATCTTTAAAGCGAGTTATTTTCGGTTATTAACGTTTCTTCGCGTTTAAATTTAAACTAACAGCATTTTTGACCGGTTTTTTTTGCAGTTAAAAGCAATTTATAATCTGTTCTTACTTGTTCTTTTCCCTTGCTTCAACAATTTTCAAGACAAACAGTTCGGCAATGTTATGAAGATTTAATGGAAACATTAAAGATGCTGTAATAACGCCAAGTTACAAAAGAAATCAATATTATCTGTAATTGTGTTAAATATTTAGATTTGTAAAATTACTTTTATGAATTATAGTTATAATTTAATAAATTATTTCATAAAGTTACAACATTTTTTAAACTCTATGGTTTCTATGAGCTGTTGCTTGAAGTTACAGTGAGTGTGAGACCCTTAAAACTGTGGAACATTAAGACGGTTTATGGATTTAAGTAATGATTTAAAATATTCCAATGAGCATAAACAACAGCAATTATGCAGAGTATACACTAATGCAGACCCGTTCCACTTAATTAATTGATTTTCATGCTACTGTTAAAACTATTTGCTTGAAAACAACATTAAATATGCTTAAGGTTGCTTAAATTTTGTCTTCCCATTCCACATTTTTATGTGTCTTACTGTATTTAAATATTGAAAATGTAATGCAGTAGGATTGCTCTCTCAAGGTTAAGATAAAGATCAGAATATGAGCTTACACATAGTTCTGAGTAAAATATTTAGCTTTGGGATATTAAGTGATGTGTAAATTGGATAAAAATAGGGTTCTAAGACTACATTAAAATGTTTAAGTGGCATTATTTTGACATCATTAAAATATTATCATATTATGTGACATTATTTGAATTCATTGAAATCAGGGGCGTACGATGGGGGGGGGGCCGCTCCCCCCGCCCCCCTCTACGCGTGCCCCCTCTGAGAGGCTGAGGGGGGCACCCATGGGGGAGGCTCTTTTAATATTACATCTGCTTGCATTTCCCTTCCTCAGGTCAGGCACAGGGGTGTACCTAGGGGGGTAGTAGTCCTCTTGCCCCCCCCTGGGAGTTCCAAAAATAAAAATTAAAAGGAAACTACGTTTAGAAAGTAACACCTGACAATGACAAAGACTAAGGATTTGTCTATATTCACTGTTAATTCAAGGAGAGAAAACTTTTAGCCTTCTAAAGAGAATACTTCTTTACACAAGATGTACTATGACGGAGAGCAGACTTAACGATCTTGCACTTATAGCTTTACACCCTATATAAGACTGTCTGAGCTCTCTACTGAAAAAAATCATTGAAATGTTTGTGCAAGCAAATTCCAGAAAATTGTAGCTTAAAAGAGTTGGTGAATATGTAGATAGAGTAAATTCTATCTAAAAATTTCAGAAGAAATTTCGTTTATTAGTAAAAATATAATTTTCAATGATGCTGTGATTATTGATTTAGTTAGCTGTGATGGAGTTAAGTGATAAATCTATAAAGTCAAAAAGTTAGTTTTTCAAGCAAAGGAATGATTTTTAGACTCTAAGGTTAGTAGCATCCAAAAATGTAGTCTTTTTATGGTGAACAAAACAAGTCCAGGTGGGAGGGGGGCAAAAAAAATTTTTAAAAAGTATTATTATTTTTTCAAAAAAGGGGTTTTTAAGGGGGGGGCACAATGTTGCCAAGGGGGGGACCAAACTTTTTTTTTTGCCCCCCCCCCTAAATAAAAGCCCTCGTACGCCCCTGATTGAGATGTTAGGTATTCTTAATAGGATCTCATTTAGGAATATATAGTGACATCAAATAATGTCATTATGATGACTAAAACATTCAAAATGACAGCAAACAAGCATAAAATTGACATAATTTAAGGATATTTGACATAAATCTGACGCTATAAAATGACGTCCTAGTGACAAAAAAGGGAGGTTCGTTTTTACGTATTTTTGTGATGTCAAAATGACATAAACTCCATAAAAAGATGTCAATTTGATGTTAATTAAATATCAGTTGTCTTGCTGGGTAGTTCATCTGACCTACAATTTCACGGCATCCGACCTACAAAATGTCTGCTTCCAACATACAGTTAGTGTGCATCCGACCTACAGTAGATCGGGTACACTTTTTTCAATTGAGTGTGTATCCGACATATATGCAGTTCATCGGACCAACAGCAGAGAAGCTACTGAAAAACCACATGCGGTTAGGTCCGAAGTATCGTAGAATGGATGTAACGTTGGGCGAATGTAATACAATCTAAATGTAAAGGGAGGGAAATGGGAATGGGGGGGGAGTCAAAGTTAACAACATGTGAAAAAAATGTAGTTATATTTTCTATCTATGGGGGCAAACAAACCTTTGCCCCCCCCTAAATTTTTTTGTATATGGTAATTGAAAGTTATTTTTTGAACTCATTTAATTTCTTTCCTCAACTAACTATTCTTTTAAGTATAAAAATACCCAAATTTTTAGTGTCCGACGTTTTTCAGAGGGGATTGAATGTCGTCTTACAAATAGAATTTCAGAGAGGGAAAGTTAGGAAGTGTTTGTTTCGTACAATATTATTGATGGAGTCAAGGAAGGGGCGAAGCTGAATAAAATTAAAATGAAGAGGAAAAGCAATTAATATTTGTTGGTTCAGTTTTAACAATTGAAAATAATCCAATTTTATTCCATTATTTGGGATTGGGATTTTTCCATCACGATTCTTTTCCGCCCTGAAAGTCGACAATTCATAAATATAAATCTCTCACGAAACCTCGATCTTAAAGAATCTTAAAGTTTAATCAAAAAAAGCTCAAAAACTATGGATTTTTAGGTACAACTTATATGGATAAAAACTTTTATTGTGTATCAAAGATTTACTGATGCAAATTTTTTTTGTGGGAATTTTTTTTTTTTTATGACCAATTTTTATGCTTGAGTTTCCGTTAAATCTGCAGCTTTCAGGAAGCACTGAGAAAACACTTTAAAAAACTTTCTAATTATGAGGTCATTGTTTTGGCCAGTTTGAAAGGGGTATGCATTTGGGGCTTTCTGGGTCTCTAACAAGAGAGCTTTCACAAATCATCGTATTTTTTGGATGAATTTCCACGAAAGAAATCTGAATTTCTCTATTCCATGTTATTTGGATAAAAATTGTAAGAAGAATATAGAGGATAGAATAGAAAGGTATAGGAGGGACGTGTAGAAGTGTAGAACTTCATTCGGGATATTTCAGTCTTTCAACATAGGACTAGGACGAGGACTATACGGATTGAGATACCCGTGGTTCCTCCAATAAGAAGCCAGGAAATCTGACCAATAACAGACAGAGTTGCGTAGAATTTCAACAAATCACAGAAGACTTTATTTCTTCCAATGAGAGTGGAGAATGAACGTGACGTCACACCTTTCATCAACCCTCTCGTACTGGCACTTCCTCATTGAACGTTGAACTAGCAGGACCGAAACTTGTTATCGTCGATCAGGTGAGACATTTCGCGGGTTTTTTCGCCAACTTCTTTTAATATTTAGTGTTAAATTCTAGTTTCTGTAAAATAAAAAAGTGTTTCAATTTGACGTTTATAAATCTAATCTTTACTCTGGCATTTATTAACTTTTTAAGATGTGTAAAATTACTTTGTTTGGCATAATCCCCCTGCCTTTGGTGGCCATCTTGGAATTTCATTATTTTTATTTACCAATTTTGAAATTAACCACTCGATCCACTACAGTTTTTTTGATTTTTTAAGCATTTGCTTGTAGATTACATAATTAAATGATTTTTTTCTTTTAATATAAGGTCTTTGATAATTTCCTAATTTACGTTTTTCGGACCCTCCCCCTTCTATCTATTTTGTCTTATATGCTAGACATGGATATAATTGACCATGTGGCCGCAGCGCCCGGCCCCTAGCCGCGGTGCTCGGCCTCCTAGCCGCAGCGCTAGGCCAGAAATTTCCTTATCCGGTATATTCCTAGAGAACGATTTTTGCCCCCCCCCCCTCCCAGTAGCGTACACAGGGGGGGGGCAGTAGTCCTCGTTCCCCTCCTGGGAATGTTGAGCAAAGGTAAAAATCAGGTGTTGGTATATTCCTAGAGAACGATTTTTGCACCCCCCCCCCCCATCAATTTTGTACATGGGTCTGACAGGAAGTGTTTTAACTTAACCTAACCCGTGGCCGCAGCGCTCGGCCCCCTAGCCTGTCCTAGCCGCAGCGCTCGGCCCAGAAAGTGTCTTAATTAACCTAACCCGTGGCCGCAGCGCTCGGCCCCCTAGCCTGTCCTAGCCGCAGCGCTCGGCCCAGAAAGTGTCTTAATTAACCTAACCTGTGGCCGCAGTGCTCGGCCCAGAAAGTGTCTTAACCTAACCTAACCCTAAATAACAAAAAAAAACAATAATAAATTTGCTAAAAAATAAATGTTCATGTATAAAATTGATAGGAGGGGGGGGGGGACCAAAAATCGTTCTCTAGGACAAACCCCCTTAACCTAACCCTAAATGAATAATATATAATAATAATAATGGAAAAATTGATCGGAAGGTTGTGAGGGGGGGGGGTCCAAAAATCGTATACTATGATGGACTCCAATATCTTTTGAATAATAATTCGGATCAATGATTTTTGAAGTTGTACATATTTCTTATATACTTTATATACTTGTCACGGATTTTTTTGGTCTGTTTCGGTTCCTCCCCCCCCCCCCCCTTCACATTACATTTAAAAGTAGAACAAATTCTGACTATTAAGATTTCTACTTAAATCTTTTTTATCTACATGTTTACATCTAGACCTCTACGGCTTTTTGTGGTCCGCGGACACAGCTAAGAGTCCAATAATAGTTTAAAACCAACACATTAAATAGTAAATAAAATTCGGCACATGCATTTTTTCTCGTCTTTCAAAGAAAAAGGGTGGGGGTGACTCAATTAAATTCATATTATCTACAATGCTTGGAATTATTAGATTTGGTTTAATTTAAAGAATTAAACATGATTATTTTCAGTTGAACCATGGCCCGTACCAAGCAGACTGCTCGTAAATCTACTGGAGGCAAGGCCCCCAGGAAACAGTTGGCCACGAAGGCAGCCAGAAAATCTGCCCCTTCCACCGGAGGAGTTAAGAAGCCCCACAGATACAGGCCCGGTACAGTCGCCCTCAGAGAGATCAGGAGGTACCAGAAGTCCACCGAGCTCCTCATCCGTAAGCTGCCCTTCCAGCGTCTGGTTAGGGAGATCGCCCAGGATTTCAAGACTGACCTCAGGTTCCAGAGCGCCGCCATCGGAGCTCTTCAGGTAAAAACCAAACTGATCATTGGGAAAAGAGGAATTTTTAAATGAAAAAGAAAATTTAATGTACGAGAAAAAAAACTGGGGTTTTGGGCGAATTTACGGGGCAATTCAAGGTAATTTACCTAGCATACGATTTTTGGACTAAGATTTCCAGACATAGCTCTGAGCTCTGATTTCAAAATTGGATCACACCTCGTTCATTAGTCTCAAGTCATAGCATTTGATAGTTGTGACTTCGAGTCGCAGCTAAGCTGTAATCCAAGCTGCGAAGTCATAGCAATTTGACAGCTTTAATAAAAATCTTACTGGGCATTTGCACAAAAAGCGATCTCTTTAATAAAGTCGTCTTTTAAGAAAGAAAAAAATTTGTATGACAAAATTTCAAGATACTAAATTCTGAAAATTTCATCATATTTTGTTGACAAATTTGTATAAACAAAGAGTAAAGTTTTTTAATTTTCTGTAGATGAATATGCAATTTTCTTATTTTTTTATTTATAAAAATTCATCCCCCCCTTGACCCAACGCCCCCCTCCCTTTCATTTCCTCAAACAACAAAAATTTTTTTTTGAAAAATCAAATTTTCTAATTTATTTTTACTCATTTGTTTATGAACAGTTTACATTTTAATTGCAATATAAATTTAATCAATTATCTTATAATTTTGTAAACAAAATTAACTATTCTTATTTGATAAACTAAAAGTACAACAATATAACTAAATATTATATTCGATTTATATATTTTCATTTTAATGGCTGAATAAATGTTCCCATTTCATTTGGATTCTGTAAATAATGGCGTCCAGTTTTTTCCCCATTAGCTGTGATTTAGCTGTGAAATCGGAGCTAAATCCTAGCTGAGGTTTGATTTGGATCAGCTGAAATTTAGCTACGATTTGAAGTCACACCTAAGGTCTGATCTAGCTGTGTTCATTGACTAGAAAACTCAAGACAGCTTTAACCAGCTACAGCTCAGCTGTCAAGTCATAGCTCGATCTATGAACCGGGCTTATTATATCGGTCCTCGCTGTTTGTATGAGATATCTTCTAAAATATAAGACGACCTTCTCTCTGTATAATTCTTAAAATTAACCCCCTCCCTCATTGAAAATAATTTTTAGTGGTCAACGTAGTAATTTTGGAGAAAGTATAAAAATTGAGGAATCTTAAGGCTGTTATGTTAAATTCCCCCGGNCCCTCCTCCCCGCCCATAATACAAACCCTCGCTTTTCGAGTGTTTTCATTGTGCAGTGGGTATTTTTTTCTGGTTAGATATTTATCGAGTCAATTGCGTGTATTGTAAAAAGTTTAAAAACTTTTGCAAACTTTTTATAAATTGATTTTTATATTTCAGGAGGCTAGCGAGGCTTACCTAGTCGGTCTATTTGAGGACACCAACTTGTGCGCCATCCACGCCAAGAGGGTCACTATCATGCCCAAGGACATCCAGCTTGCTAGGAGAATCCGTGGAGAGCGTGCTTAAGAACTCTCGCCTGATCTCGTGGACGAACGATGCCTCACGTCGATTCGACCCGTTCCGTACAATTCGACTAGATCCCGCTCTACTGTGTTTTTATTCAAACTGCCAATAATGTAACTTTAGGGACATTTGCACTCTTTAAAGAATCACAGCTCTGAGGATTTGGTTGACTCGTGACTTTTTTTGAATCTTTGTATTTAGGGCGCGTCGCGCCCCAACACCCGTATGTTGTAACATTATAGTTTTTTTGTCATTCTTAGCGTTTCTATACAATAAAACATAACAGTATTTGTAAGTGCAATTTTTGACTTCCCTATAGACATTTCAAACTTTTAAGAATAAAAATCAATAGCTTACTTGTTGAAATTTTAGAACTCTGAAGGAGTCGAAGGAGTGACTTAAGATCATACAGAAAATCATAAAAGTTAGCGTTAACTTTCAGTGTGACTGACTGAATGTAAAGTTCATATAGAAAGTTATAAAAGTTGGCATAAACTTTCAGTGAGACTGAAAGAGAGTTCTTTAAGGGACTAATATTCTAGGTCTGAAGAGTAAATGGTTTGAATATTTATGGATATGTTAAGGTTTACTCCGGGGGAAACGGAATAATTACTGAGATATATTACTAGAGGCGTACACGGGAATTTTCATTCTGTCTTTGAAGCCGCTGGAGTGTGTACACCTCTGGTAAATTTTGTAAATCAATTCATATCGATAATTTCTCTTTCGAACTAATGGTGAATAACTTCCTAGCCATTATCATTAAGAACTGACATGTATGCGCTGTTGCATGAAATTTGAATTTTACACTATTAATTGATAAAAGCCTAACAATTATAAGGTATTTTTTAAGTGGGGAATATTTTTTAGTTGCTATATTTCCCAATAAAGGCGTAAAATCAAAACAAAAAATTAGTGTTTTATTTTTAAGAAACTTTGAACTTATATATACATATACATTTTTTGCGCAATTCACGAATTCAGCAAAATACAAGGGCGTATACAGGGAAGGCGGGGCCGTAGCCCCCCTGATCTCAGGCTTTTACACATATTACAAACCTTCTACTCAGGAGTGAAGAACATAAAAAAATTAGTTCGCTGCTCAATTAGCGGTGGACCAGAGCCACCATGAAAGAAGTCCGAATGAAATTTCTATTTAGAATGCACTTTCATCCTAATCGGATGGGCGATATTATGGATAGCAAAGTAAAACAATTCAGGGGGCGTGGGACATTCGCCCCCCCTGAATTTGGAATTTTTTTGTTCCTATTTTCAGAAAAGCTTCTCAATAGCATGCTTAAGGGAAAGAAACCCTAGTGCAAAACAGGAAAAATATCTGTTAATAGACTTTAATGTGTGAAAAGTTAAAAATCTAGTTTTTTAGTCTTAAGTCATTAATTTTGACACTTTTTGAGTCTTTAAGTCAAAAAAAATTTTCTCCTGCGGCGCGAATTTTTGGCCCTAATTATGAATTTTTTGGTTCCTAAAAAATTTTGCCCCCCCCCCCCTCACTTAAATCCTGTATCCGCCCATGAAACAATTATTTTTAAATGACAAGCCACGAAGACCTGAGTTAGGAAATAGCAGTAGAAGACCATTTTTAGGTTTAATTTGGATTTAATTTACTATATCATAGCACCGTCGTTTTGTAATCTTTCTTTTTATTAGAAACTATTTGAAGTGCCAGGCGTTGCCCGTGGAATTTTAAAAACAAATTAAAACAAAAAACTTATAATTTATTTAGGTTTTGTCTACCCCAAGGGTATCCATGAGTTTCCTCAATAAAATTCAGCTGTTTGGCCATGGCCATAGCAATTACATATAAATGAATGAAGAGCTTTATTATATAGATTATGTACTCATATTTTTTTTCAAAACTGAAACTTTTACAAGTCATAATTATTTTCTGGACCTCTTTTTTCATCTCATCTAGAATTTAAGTTTAAGTAGAGTTTTTCATTTAAAAAAATGTCTTTTACTATAAAGTCGATATTTTTTAAACAATACTTTTTTTCTGCTTATAGTTAGCTGTTTGAAGAAGAGACAAAGTATAGTATACAATGCGAGGTAATTGGACTATATGCGTACCTTTAAAGCATCTTATACTTATGCCTGATACCCAAGCAGCCAAATTTTTTGAATTTACCGTCCAAATTTTGCCCCCCCCTATGGAGCCCCTATGGCCGGCAAAAAAATTCCCCCCCCCCTACATTTATTTTTGTATACCCCCTTGACAAAATACTTAGTATTTCATTTCGTTTCAGCTGAATTGGAAGCATATTTTTTTAACAACAAGAACTAGCCTTTTTTTTTTTGACTTGAAACCCTTAAAAATCAAATTTCGCCCCCCCACCCCCCGGAACATAATGATTATTTTCTTATTCATTCAACACTTTTTGGAATGTCGTCTTCAATTATCATATTATTTAACATTTATTTGTAAAACAAAAATTTATCAAAAAATGAACTTATTTCAACCAGCAAAAATCGATAGGCTATAAAAAATATTTCAGGAATTTGTTTTATTTTCAGAAATATTTACCCCTTGTTTAATATTACGCAGCAATCAGAATCAGCTGATTAGAGCGAGGGCGAGAAGGTGTTCTATATAACTATCACGTCCGAGCCACCTTAACTACCCTTCTTGACAGTCTTTTTTACATTTTCGAAATTTGACTATTTATGAATGTAGTTGTGAAAAAGAAAGTTGGTATAATATTTACACAAATACCTTTATATATTATTTATAAATTCAACGAAATTGCACAACAGATGAAATCCAACTCATTACTCAACGAATGCAGTACCGCAGCCAAGCCAGATAAAGAATTGCCACAATTTGACAAAGAAATATGACTTTAAAAGTACTAAGGCAAGCTGCTACTGACTCACTGGGATGGACAAAGATATGACTCGGACTTAAGATTCATGTGGCTCACCCTTCTGCCGTCTCTGTAAATGTGTACAGTATGGACGCAGTAACCTCACAAGTTTCTAGCTAGGGAACAAATCAAGTTATTTTTATTGTACTTTGTTGTGCTGTGTTGCTTGTGGCACCAATTAGCTCCCTAAACTGGCCTGACAACTTTAATTCCGGTAACACAGTAGTTAGAATTAACAAAATATAATTTTAATGTTAGAGTGAAAAGATATTAATTTTAAATTTGAGGGTAAATTTCATGCACAATAATGGATTTTTAATTCCGGTCCCATGCACCACATAAAGGTAGAAAAAGTTGCATGTCCACCGAAGAAACGAATGATCGCTATGTACAATTTTGCCTTGTAACCATGTTACGTATTGCCGAGTTGCATTATGACGTAATAAAGTTTTTGGACAGAAATTTTCCCCTAAAATGTAAGAACCTTCCAGATTTAACACAAATATTATTTCGGTTCGCAGTTTTATGAAATATTGGACAGAAATTTTCTCCTGATTTAGATGACTTAATTGTCTAAAATGAAATCAAAAAAAGGCTTGCACCTTCTCTAACTCTGCGAACCGAAATAATAGTGCTTTTAGTTATTTCGAGTCCGAGCTAGTAAAAGATTTTTGGAACCCTCTCCCACCCCCCCCCCATCAATTTTTTACATGACCTAGATTTCATCTAATTTCAACAAAAAATATTTATTTTGTATTATTTCAGGGTTAGGTTAGGCTAGGATAAATTCTGGGCCGCGCGGTGCGGCTAGGACAGGCTAGGGGGCTGAGCGTTGCCGCCAGGACAGACCTTCAATTTTAACAATTTTCAACAAAATTAGTATATGTTTATGGTAAGGATAGGTTAAGACACTTTCTGGGTCGAGCATTGTGGCTATGACAAACTAGGGGGCCTAGCGCCGCGGCTAGAACAGACAGGGGGACGGGCGCTGCGGCCACATGACCAACTTAATCCTTGCGTTAAATATGAGATGCATGTACATAATTGATGGGGGGGGGTCCCAAAATCGTCTACCAGGAAATTACCGTTATTTCGAAATAATTCTTACATTTAGAAGATACTAATGCACAAACCCTTCATTTTAAATCATTAAAAATTAAACTTACAATGACAGGACTGAAAGAGAAGCAATTATACCACCAATGGGGATATCTTAAATAGAATAAAGGGACTGTTCTTTTTCATGACAATAAAATATTTTCGGGGGCTGATCATAACTGTCGTACAGAATCATTAAAAATAATTGCTCGTTAGATGTCTAAAGGATGTTGGGGTTACAAAATACTACGGGTTCTGGTATCCCTTCACCCAGGTACGCTTACATTCAGGGTTCAAAAATAGTTCATGCCTTAAGGGGACTAACCAGCTGCTATCCCAGACATGATGAATATGCGTATCGATAGAGGGAGTGCTGATGGGTTGGATACCTGAGGCCAAGAACAACCCCAGCAATTTTCTTTAAATAAAAAAATAGATGATCCTTACGCGGCTAAATGTTATCAAGTCCAAACGTTACTCACGTTATGCAACCTTAATGTTACCAAGTCATACAAAGTAAATTGTTGCTCGACAACAACTTATTTTTTGGGATTGTCACCTTTATGTGGGAATTTTCCCTCAAACTTCAAAATTGATCTCTTTTTTCCTAAAATTTTCAAATTCAGCGAATAAAACCTCCGTTAAATTTGAGTTTGAGAAGATAAGGTTTTTTTTTGATTTAGGACATAGTTTCCCGTGTTTCTGCTGTGAAAAAGAAAATCGGTCTCAACTTAAAATCTACGAAAAGCATACAAAACCCAAACTTCTAGCAAAATTCGAATTAGAATAATAAATAAGTAAAAATTATTGTTTATTCCAGCCTTTAGAAACATCTATGAGTTGCAGTGGTGTGAAATGGTTTTTTTTGGGTTTTTGACTCCCTCCTATGAGTGCTGAGCCCCCCCCCCCCCCTTGGGTGAGAAAAAAAGTTTAAACCCCCTTGACAAAATCCTGAAAACGCCCCTGATGATCTGTATTAGCTTAGGAGTATTGTACATATCTAGACTGGGTTTTCAACTAGGTTATTAGTCCCTTAAAGCCCTCAGATGTAGGCCAAATTAAGTGCATGAATATGTAAGAGGGTAAGTAGAGAAGAAAGCAGTTGACTCCTGTTCAGTGTTCAGTGTATACAGTAGTCAGTCCAGCTAGCAACAAGCCGAGCAGAGTGCTGAAACAGTATTTTTCATTACACGTGCAATGTATTGGATTCCTATGGTCTTTTTATTTAGGGGTGTGTTTGTTTATATTTTAAGGATGGAAGGGGGGGGGCAATAGATGATATAAGAAAATGGAAGATTTTGAGAGTTAAGCCTTTTTACCTTAAAATTGTTTTTTTTTTCGACTGAAAATTTCTTTTTCAAAATAAAACACTATACCCATTTGAAAATATGAAGGGAAAACAATAAACACGGTGTTATCACAATTTTCAGACATTCAAAAGCAAGTGTAAACTTAATAAGGTTAAATATAAGAATTTTCACTCTTTAATTTACAAGAAGGCATTTTAATTACTACTAGCTAAAGGACCAGACGTTGCCCGTGGAAATAGAAAATAAGAAAAAATAAAAATAAAAAATTTTGAGAAAAAAAATTTCTAATTTTTTAGCCTTTAACTCCCATGAGTGTCCACAAAAAAAATTCGTCCCAATCGGTCCAGCCGTTTGAACGGCTATAGGCAACATACATGTAAACGAATGTCTTGTTTTATTATATAGATGTCTTATGTCTTAAAAATATGTCAAAATTAATTTAATAAATTTGACTTTAGGTAAGTTCCATATCTTGATATAATTATCTTTTTTATTTGTTGTTTAAACATTGCCGGCCGGTTTATAATTGAGAAATTATCTACACTATTACACATTTTTCACGCAGGATTGCCTTTATAATTGCCATGCACAACTACCAACGGGCAATAACTTGTTATCTATATAATAAAACTAGACATTCGTAAGTATATATGTTATAGCCGGCCAAACGGCGAAACCGATTGGGCTGAATTTTTTTGTGGACACTCAGGGGTGGCTGGGGAGTGTTATTGGCTAAAAAAATCAATTTTTTTATTCACGGGCAACGCCGGGCGCACTCCAGTTTGTTTTATAAAACTTTAGGTTTTTGGACTTCTTCCACACACATCTGATAAGTTAAACAAATTTCAAAATCGCTTCTTCTAATTGCTATATTTTTACTCTATATACCAAAGTAATGGTGTCTTCTAAACTATTGCTATATTTTTACTCTATATACCAAAGTAATGGTGTCTTCTAAACTATTGCTATATTTTTACTCTATATACCAAAGTAATGGTGTCTTCTAAACTATTGATATATCTTTACTCTATATACCAAAGTAATGGTGTCTTCTAAACTATTGCTATATTTTTATACAACTGTATTTCGATGATGTTCTATTCAAATTCCAAAAACCTGTAAAGAAATTAAAAACAAACCAATTTTTCCATCACTATCTTACACCAAATAAACGTGTGCGTAAGGCAATAGGCATGCATTGTTTTCTTAATTTTTTAATCTAAAAATTTACCTAATAGAACTGAACAGTTTCATTTAATTGATACCAAACATTAGTCTAATCTTTGTTTGGCACTTAAGTCAACTAGACACTAAGGACCATGCCGCGTGAAGCTCCCTTGATGAATTATCAAACTAATATTTAATCCAATTAATCTCTCCAAATATATAAATGTATTTCAGATGCTAAATTGTTAGTAGAAATGTAAATTTTGTGTAATGCACAAACACACAATGTAGAACACGGACGCACGAGGATATGCAAGGTAAGCATTTCTTATTAGAATGTCTCCCTTCATAATGATTACTCTTCCTACATTTATACACAGCTTTTTCTTCCATTTTTAATTATTTCTTCATATTTTATGGTCTTAAAAAAAGAAATTGAACATTTTTACATATTATGAAGTAGCTATCTCTATTTGTTTGTTATTCCGATCATAACTCAGAAACCCCTTGAGCGATTTGCCTCAAATTTTGATTGGGGAACTCGAGAGAGCTTCGGGAATGTTTCTAGCTTGGTTTTGAGATTCTGAGTTGAGTGGGTCGACTATTATAGCGAAAATTTAGTTTCCTAGTAAAATCGACCAAGTGCGGGTAAACGGCGGTAGTAATTATGAGTACCATGGGCAACGCTGGGTTCCCAAGCTAGTTATGTATTATATTTGTATGGCTTGTCTATTTCTTGGTTTGTCTGGTCGTATCCAATAAATGGCGGAACAAATCAGACACGGTCAAAGTTACCTAAACAGTAGGCGAGTTTTTGTATTAAAAGTCTCTCAATCCTCAAAATTCTATTTTATGAAATAAAAATGCCAAGTTGGAACATTTTAAATCTAAAATTTCTACTAGAAGAAAGGGACCGGGCGCAAAGTTCTCTCAAAGCCTAGTTTCTATTTTGCTTAATTATTTTTGTAAGCTTTTCAGAAGCAACGTTTTTTATAGTTAAGCCTGGTTCAACGTTTATTGGCATCTGCCATGGTTCAAACTCTTAAAATTCATGAAAATAAAATGTTCAGAAAAAAATCTTAAAATTTGTTTCATATTAAGGATCTGAGAATGAATCCGTAAGCTTGAGAAATAATGACAAAATTTCTGCCTCCCGCCTCTCTCCCTCCTCCCCTCCTCCTCCTCCTAGTAGGTATCCTCAACCTCCCCTAAACATGACCTCCTCTAACCTTGTGGGACCTCCAGACACCCCTCTGGGGGCCCTAAAGATGACGTCAGGGCCCCCGAGACTAAGTAGTGGACCTCCTCCGGTGAGGTATGAGTTGACCAACGCGGAGAAGATCTTGACGAGCTTGACAGCCGGCGCTGTGGCCGGCGGTCTGGCCAAAACTGTGATTGCGCCTCTTGACAGGTTAATTTTTTCATAATTTTCCAGGGGTGTATATTTTCTTGAAAAACTTCCCACTCATGAAAAATCTATTTTTCCCTAGAAGGCAATTTATTTGTCTTGCTAAATAGGGGGAAATTAACGAGTTTTAAGGGGAAATACATGTTTTTTTTTTGAAAAAGTATCAAAAAGACTAAAAAAATTATTATCTTTTAAATAACAAATTTTTTATCAAAAATAATTCTCCCCCCCCCCCCTCGCAATTTTCTCGAGATCCATTAAACGGTATATATTTGTTAAACGATCATCTCCCTCTGAAAATAACTCCCCCCCCCCATATTTTTAAATATTTTTTATGAATGAAATGAAAAAATGACTGGGAGGGGGGTAAATTAATACAAATTTTGAGAAACTTATTTAAAATTGTAGGAACATCTTCGTAGTGAATTAGGATCCTAGGAGCCAAAATATTTTTAGTCTGCAATCATATAATCGTGAATTAGGATCCTAGGAGCCAAAATATTTTTAGTCTGCGATCTTAAAATCACTTGTATTTTAGCCAAATCTGACAATTGTAAATTTTATAAAATAAATCTTAATTTTTTCTGAAAGCAAGTTATGAAAAATATGCAGTTGATTGCAATTTGCAATATAGCCTCGCCTAAAGCATTATTATTTTGAAACAGTTTTGTCTATGTTAAGGTCTAAGATATTCTTCCAGACTAACGAAACCAGAAACTACAGGTTCAGATACGCTATACGCTGGCTTCGTCATGGATACAGGTTAACTTATTAACCTCTTTATCTCAATCAGATTTTTAAATCATATGATGAAAATACAAATTTTTTCATCAATAAACATAAACTTTCAGGAAAAAAATGTTAGGAAAATATTATTGAAATGTTTTTTTAGAGAAAATTATATCCAAAAAGAGGAATAACGCTTTCAAGAACACTTCTTTATATTTCTTATTTCAAGATCTTTCTATAATTTCTTGATAATGTAAATCTCAAATTAAGATCCTGGTTTTAAATCCAATAATTGAAAACTAATTTTCTATCTTTGAACTAAAAAAAATACCCTTCTGAATTTTATTAAAATTTTATTAAAATGCTTTTTTAAAGTCGATAAAAAATTGGAACAAGGCTTTCTAGAATAATTTTTTTTCAGAACGTTCATTAATTATCATAATGCAACTTTGGCTCGCTCGTATTCTGCTCTGTACTGATGTTTAAAGGGAGTGACCGCCAATGTTTGGTAGTTGAATTGAGAGTGTTGTTTTTGGAGAAATTTTTCATAATTTGAGACATATCATACGTTTTTACGGTGCATATTTGTTTAGCAAGAGCGCAAATTCAATCTTTAAAATCCTCATCGATTGTCCCAATTAGGGTTTCCATTCGCAAAACTTTTAATTGCGCAATTTTTGCGGAACGAAACGCAAAATTTTTCTTTCTTTGCGCATCAGTTTTGCGCGAAAAAACAGCAATTTGCGCAATCATTCGCAAAAGCATTTCTCGCAAAATTGCTCTATTCCGCTTTTGCGAAACTTAAGTTTTGCGCAATTCCGCAATTTCGTAAAAATCAAACGGTTGGTGACGGTGTGTGTTTCTTAGAATTCAATTCTGGAAAAATCTTGAGTCGAAATGTCTTAATATTGGTCACTTTTACATAATTGACCAATGACAGTTAAGAAGAGTTCAAATCTCACGGAAGCGCACCTTATTCACTTGAAATTATTTAATAGGATTAAAATATTGCCAAGTTTCACACTCTCTAATTTCTATTTTATTAATTTTGGTCCCTCAATTTAAACTTTTTGTAACTGGAAGTAACCAATGGAGTGTAGTATAATCGTTATCATACTCGTATGTTAATATTTTTTTTATGTATGGAATAAATCTTCAGTTGTTTAATTCTAAGCTTAGAATATCAATTTTTGACAATTTACCTAAAAAGTTACATTTTGCGTAAAACTTGCGGTTTTGCACAAATTGCGCAAAAAAATAGCGCAAAACTCATTGCGTTTCATGCGCAAAAATAGCGCAAAAGAACGGGTTTTAAAAATTTATCCAACCACGACGACGAAAAATGTAACAAAAATTCTACAATAAACTAATTTGTTGTTAAGGAACAGTGTTTAGCAAATAAAATTAACCCTTAACATCGAAGTTTAGTAATCTTATTAAGTTTTGGTTTCTGTGATGTCGCATTGTGCTTTAACATTTTCTGTAGATTTCCTGAAATTTTTATTGAAAAAACGATATTTGAAGAAATCTGCGAACAAGTTCCAAAAAAATAAGAGATTTAATATAATGCTGAATAGTGAAATAATTGATTTTAACATTGACTTATTGACCATTTTCTATTGAGAAATATGTTCCTAAACATCTGATTAGTTTACTGTAGAATTTTTGTGACTTTTTTGTTTTCGTTATTTAATAATTAAAAACTTGATTTTCTAAACATAACCACCCAAATGGATGATTTTACCTTCGACTTTTCGCTCAAACTCAGTAATCATAAATTATTAAAACGTTTTATATGCGTTAAATGAATTCTGAAAAAAAAATCTATACAAAGCTAGATTTTCAGTTCAACTACCATACATTGCCGGTCACACCCTTTAAAGTTTTCTATGTTTCTAGGAATGAAGGTCTATTCTCTCTATGGCGAGGGAATAGTGCAACTATGGCTCGTATCCTACCCTATGCTGCTATACAGTTTATGTCCCATGAACAGTACAAGTCTATATTAAGAGTAGAGGAGAAGGAAACCCCAAAGGTAAAAAAGAACATTTTTAAAAATTACATGCTGCATCATATTTTTTTTAAAAACATCATGCCACTAGGATGTTAGAGCACTTTTCTAGAAACAATTTCAGCTTAATGTTCAAGTTGCCATTTTCTGTTAGGAAATCAGAACACTAAAAAGTTCGCGAAATTAACTGCTTTCATTGATGGATTTTCAGCAAACTTTAAAAATACACATTTTTCTATGAATAAAGATTTCAATTCTGACCGGCCTTAAATTTTACAAAGTTTTTGTGTACAAACAAACAGAAAATTAAAATTAATATTAGACAGGTATTTCACCTCAAACAGCATTGATTGGATTTCCTGCAGTTTCATTTATCGAGCAAATTTATGTATTTAATCCTATAATGTATTTTACAGTGTACGTACACTGTACAGTATAAAACATTATTCTAGTTAGGATATGATGTATAGAATAAACTTATCATGCAACCAGGGTTTCCAGGAAGCAGTAGACTCTCTTGCGTTAGAATTTCGTGTTTTTGCACGAAATGTTGCTTCAATTTCGTATTAATGCGAAACCAGTTTTGCTTGGAATTGCACTTTAAAAACCAATTCTATCATACCTTCATTATTTTTTTTTCATTAATTTAAAGTTTAGAGTCTGTTAAAGATTTGGATACTCTTATCAATAAAATTTGTCATGACAAAAATGTTCTGAGAAAACGGTAAAAAGGTTCCACTGAAGGTTTGTTTGTCTGTCTGCTTGTTTGTTAACTATCTCCGTAGTCTGGACCAAATTGTCTTAAACTTGTGGGCAAGAAACCCTGAGTGATTAATTCATTTATTTTCTAAAATTGTTTATCAAAATTTAACGAAATGGCTCAAAATAACGAAGTATGTAAAAATAACGAAATAGCAGGAAACATCAAAATAAGCAAAAACCAAGGTTTTTTAGAGTTTCCGCGAAATGGCTTTTGCGCATCAATGCGAAATTATATAGAAATTATTGCACGATTTTCGTGCAAAAAAAAATCGATTGGAAACCCTACATGCAACCTTCTCAATTTGAAAAAGATGGGGGGGGGGAAGGGAGGTGGTATTTAGTGAGAACTTGCTTACTTTTCCATCCTGTGGAGGGGGGGGGGAGGTTATGATTCCTGATATTCCTGATTTTTGTTAACGCAGGTTTACCGTTGGTTTGCTGGCGCTATGGCAGGTATAACAGGACAGCTGTTGACCTACCCGCTGGATAAAGTCAGAGCTGTTATGGCTGTGACAAAGTAAGTAAAAGGCAGACAATGATGATTACTGTCGTGTTAACATTCATTCTATATTTAATTTAAAAATCATTAAAATACATGTTCTTTACTGAAAAGCTCTTCGCGTATTTATATATATATGTTTACATACGTATATGAATTATTCTAGCTGGCCATATGGCTGCACCAAATTATTCTAGCTGGCCATATGGCTGCACCAAATTTGCTGAATTTTTTCGAGGGAACTCCTGGGTATCCCGGGGAAACCAAGGGCTTTTAAATTCGAATTTTTTTTCAAGATGGAAATATAAAATAAAGATAGATTATGCAATGCGGACAATGCGGGGCAATTGAATGCAATAAATTAAATCGTTAATGTCCCCCCCCCTCCCCCGAAACTTTTTAGGATAACTGGATGCATAATTTCAAGTGTCCCGTCCATCCATGCAAAGATGGCTTTGCACGATTTATAACAGTTCCCGTGTAATTTGTATCCTTCAATAATATGGAAGTGTCTAGGTTTAACAGTGTTTAATTCTGATAAATCATATGTGTTTTGCTGCAGTAGAAATGTCCAGGTCACTTTAGTTTTGTTGATAATAGAAAATAATCATTTTTAATAATCATATACTTTAATATCAAATTCATACTTATTCAGACAAAGCTTTAAAGTGCACCATTGTGAATCCGGTATTGCTATCTTTGTATGGAGGCCTCATTTGAAATTACGCTTGCATTCCAACCTATAATATGCTATGTTCTCTGTAATAATTGTAATTGATTTAGAACCCCAGAATTCCGAAGTATCAGCACAGTGTTACTGAAGGTGCAACGGGAGGAAGGGGTCCTAGCTCTCTACAGGGGCCTAGCACCTTCAATGTTCGGAGTTATGCTGTATGCAGGAACATCATTTTTCATCTTTGGAACACTCAAGGTAACATATCTTTTAATTGGAAATATAAATTTTAGAAATTGCAAATTATGCTTTTTGTGTGATTATGATTTTTATTATGAATTGGAGCATAACTGGAGCTCCATAAACTCTATTTTCTATTATTTTGTTTATGAAGGGAGCGGCAGTTCAGCACAATGGAGGAGAGGATCCCACATTTATTCAGCGAGTTCTTGCCGGAGCAGTAGCTGGACTTATCGGTCAAACCACCAGCTATCCTCTAGATATAGTCAGGTAGGAGCAGTAGCTGGACTTATCGGTCAAACCACCAGCTATCCCCTAGATATAGTCAGGTAGGAGCAGTAGCTGGTCTCATGGTCAAACCACCAGCTATCCTCTAGATATAGTCAGGTAGGAGCAGTAGCTGGACTTTTCAGTCAAACCACCAGCTACCCTCTAGATATAGTCAGGTAGGAGCAGTAGCTGGACTTATCGGTCAAACCACCAGCTATCCTCTAGATATAGTCAGGTAGGAGCAGTGGACTTTTCAGTCAAACCACCAGCTACCCTCTAGATATAGTCAGGTAGGAGCAGTAGCTGGACTTTTCAGTCAAACCACCAGCTACCCTCTAGAAATAGTCAGTAGGGGGGAGTGAATTAAAAGATTTCTTCACAGAACTACGGCGAAAGTCAATTCTTATGTAAAAAAAAACAATTCTAAGAACAATTTCGTTAATGACACTTTTTGATTGGAGGTTGTCTTCGTTAGCTAACTGGCACTGCAATTTTTGACCTCTATGTCTCTTTTTGGAGATCAGTGATTTCGCAATACGCGGGAAAAATGCTTCCATTAATTACGGTGATACTTTATTTCTATGTAAAAAACAATTCTAAGAACAAATTATTTTACGTCAGTTTTTGACTGGAGGTCGTCTTTATTAGCTAACGGGCACTGCAAGTTTTGACCTATATATACTCCTTTTCTGAAATCTGTTATTTCGCAATAAGCATGTAATATGCTTTAAATTATTACGGCGATAGTCAATTCTCATGTAAAAATCCAGTTTAAAAACAATTTCTTTTATGACATTTTTTGATTGGAGGTCGTCTTCGTTAGCTATAACTGTTATAACTGTCACTCCAATTGTTTACCTAAATGTACTATTTTTTTTAGATTGGTGATTTCGTAATAAGCATGCAATAAGCTTCCAATTATTACAGCGATAGACATTTCTAATGTTAAAACAAATCTAAGAACAATTTCTTTTATAACACTTTTGATTGGAGGTCGTCTTCTTATGCAAAATAGCACACAGATCCAGAAAAAGAGTTCATTTATGTCAAAAATATCAGTGCCAGTTAACTTAAGAGGACAGCCTTCAGTCAAAAAGTATCATAAAAGCAATTGTTTTTAGAATTGATTTTTAGAATTGATTTTTAGAATTGATTTTTAAAGTAGAAATAACTGTCGCCGTGATAGTTGAAAGCATATTGCATGCATATTGCGAAATAACAGATTTCAGAGAAAAGGTATATATAAGTCAAAACTTGCAGTGCCCGTTAGCTAACGAAGACGACCTCTAATCAAAAACTGTCATAAAAGGTTTTGACCTTAGAATTATTTTTTTTTGCATAGAAATGAACTATTGCCATAATGATAGGAAGCATTTTACTTGTGTCACAGATCTCAGAAAAAGACATAAAGGTCAAAACTTGCAGTGCCCGTTAGCTAACAAAGACGACCTCTAATAAAAAAGTTTCATAAAAGAAATTGTTCTTAGAATTGTTTTGACATATGAATTGACTTTCGCCGTAAAGATTTTAAGCAAATTGTTCTATTTTTAGAAATTCACTCCCCCCTAATAGTCAGGTAGGAGCAGTAGCTGGTCTTATCGGTCAAACCACCAGCTTTCTTCTCTTTGTATAGTTAGGTAGGAGCAGTAGCTGGTCTTATCGGTCAAACAAACATCTGATTAAAAGAACAAGGGGAACCACTGTGTGAATTAGGCATAGGATCAGTAACATCTTGTATTGTACACTTTAGTATAGTAACATTTTGTCTAGGTTAACAACTGTGACACACTTACCATGACGAGTATACACACTCAGTAAGTCTTATCTGAGAGACATGGTTTTGAAAATGTTGTAATTTGGCGGATTTCCTACATCATGGTTCGTAGATTTCTCTGCAAACTATCTCCATTCTTTTATGGATAATTGTATACGAAAAATACCTATACGAAATGTTAACTTTGCAAAATGTTTCCTATACGAAATGTTTCCTATGCAAAGTGTTACCTAGACAAAGTTTGCTGTACAAAATGTTACCATACGGAAATGTACTATACGAAACGTTGCTGATTCTGTCCCATCTGCCTAATAATAATAATACTATTTCAGGCGTAGAATGCAGACCGGGGTTTCACTGGGGAAAGGAAGCAAGTACAGTACAGCAGTTGGTACATTTATGTATGTTCTCAGGTAAACAATCATGCAGTACATCTAACGTATATTTGTTGCACTTAAAGCAATTTTCTTGGTTTTTTGCTTGGCTTTTTGGATCTGTCAGTTCATTGGTAGGAAGATATGACATAGGGCTTTCTAATTTTTCATATCTTCTATTATCCCACCAAAGATTTCTGAATTGACAGAACATAAAACCTGAAATTGCTTCAAGTCCACCGTATGTGTAGTGAGTACAGAACTGAAAATATGACGGAATGAAGAATATAATCTTTACTTGCTCTTATATAATCTTCCAATAGCTTTTTTACAGGCATTTTTCTGATTATTCCATTTTGTTACAGGCATATTGATAACTAGTCTGAAGTCTCATCCTTAATTGGCAACCCTGTATTTGAGTTCATGATTAGTTTCTAGCATAATTTATGTTCTTCATTTTCTTATTCTTCTTTTTCTTCTCTTTCTTCTCTTTACTTTCCTTCCATCTTCGTTTTCTATTCTTATATATTAACAAGGGGGTCGGGTTGTTCCGAAATCATTATTATTAGCATTATTTCATTAAGCCCTTATCTCCAAAGAAGAGATACTGGCTTTGGAGGCTATTCCTCTCAGTGATTGCCTAATCATACAGGACATGATACTTTGACTGTAGGTTGAATGATAATGATAATAGTAATAATAGCAATAATAGCAATAATAACAATTTAAAGTTAAAATGATATGTAAAATTGCGGGACCTGAAATAAATACTTTTTTCAACAAAATCTCAAAAAAAAGTAAAAGTTCTTTAGTAATTGTTTTTGCAATAACTACAAGGTACAAATTGTACATTGTAGATACTTAGCTACTACTTCTCCGATATCGGTGGGGGGGGNAGGGAAATATCTACCCCGGGGTCGGGAGTGAGTTAGCTAGTCTTGTTTTCTCTGTTTAGGAATGAAGGTGTGAGCCGAGGATTATACAAGGGGCTCAGCATGAACTTTATCAAGGGCCCCCTCGCCTCCTCCGTCAGCTATACCTCCTTCGACTACGTCAAGATGGGTCTGGAGTGGAGTATAAGGACCTCAAGAAGCTAACAGGGCCGGGGGGAGAAGAAGGGAGGTGCGCAACCAACTCAACCTTTCGGGGGTCTTTAATCAATTTATATCTTTGTGTTCAGCAATCTACGCTTTTCTCTGTAATTAATACGCAATTGCGTTCTCAACAATTTGTGCCTGCAACTCTAAGTACATTGCACAATTGTACTTGTGAACTGCCTGGATTGCTTTCTTAGAACTTTCTTCATCTTCCGTTATCAATTCTTCCATCTTGAATACTTAAGCCTGTTAGGTATAGGAGCTTCTAGTTGGACTTATGTACACAATACACTGTAAACTGTACCGTACTGACTAGTGGGACTCTGTTCAGATATGAGGGTGTGTTGGAAGGACTGTACAAAGGATTATCAATGAACATGATCAAAGGACCAGTAGCCGCAGGTATTTGGAAACAAAATTGTATTTTGCTGGTTGACGTTAATATTTATATTTAATAATTATCTGTTGCGTCTATGAGGTTCATACTGAAGATTAAGAACGTAGCGGATCCATACAAATTCAGAAAGTTGCAATTTTCGACTCGAATCGAATAAAAATCAATTTAATTCCAAACAAATTATTTAGTTATTACAACCTATAATCATCGATTTTTTTCGACGCATTTGTATAACGTTGATATTTCTTAATATTTTTGATTTTTATTTAAAATAATATTTCGCTTTTAACTTGTTTTCACGGCTGGCGTTGGACTTTCGAACATTCATTAAAAATATGAAAATGTCGTCTTCATTGTCAAAAATCATCGAAACAGGAACAAATGCTTTCAAAAGTAACTCTCGGATCATTAATAAAAAAAAAATATTATGAAATATCAACTATAAACGAATGCATCGAAAAAAATCGATGATTATAGCTTGTGATATCTGAATGATATGTTTGAAATTACATTGATTTTTTTACGATCCGTGTCGAATATTGCAACTTCCTGAATTTGTATGGGCAAGGAGTATGGAATTTATAAGAGAGAAGGAATCAACCTTCCTACCATATGACTATACATGCTTTGCAGACAGTACTCCATTTGAATAAGAAATATTTGTCTGATGTACAAATACTACGGACATGTATTAAGAATATTGTATATATTAAATATCAAAAAAAGTAGGCTTAACAACGCCAATCAAACACATTTTTTTGCGACGCAAAAATGTTGGCAATACAAACGTATTTTTTGATAATATAAAAAATCAATTTTATAAAATATGGTAAAGTAAAAACAACATTTAAAAAAATAAAAGAAGATCTTAAAAACTCTTTTCAAATGGTTGGACGACCCGTGTCGATACCTTTTCCCTTATATTCCATACTCCTGGGTATGGACGCTACGTTATTCGGTAAGAGTTGTTTTAACAATTTTCTCCATATTGAAATTATAATAACTAGAAAATCAAGGCGCTTCGCGCCCTTCTTTCTAGCCTTAGAGGGCGCTTCGCGCCCATCTTCTAAATTAGTTGTGAACATGTTCTCTTTGTGTACATCGTAAAACAAAACAAAAATAATTCGCGGATTTTCACAAAAAATTTCGCGGATTTTCAATATTTTCAATTTAATGACGATCGAATTTTGATTGAGACAAATATTTAAAATTTCAATCATTCATAAACCTTCCCTGGGGTCCCTAGATGTCCCACAAAAAATTTGGGCCCGATCGGTTCAGCCGTTTTGACGTTTATTGGATACAAACAGACAGACAAGCCAAATTTATATATAGATGACACTTAACAAGATTACTTTCGTGTTTATGTTTCAAATTTTTTCTTAATAGTCCCCAATTTGATGCAATACAAAATAAAACTATTTCTGCTGTTTGCAACCATGGGGTTTAGGACTGCGTATAAACCTTGGAATTCAGAACCCCCAGAAGAAAAATATAAGGGGTTCAGATATATGTAAATTATTTTTATTTGTAATATTGGTTAGCTGAAATTAACGGAGAGATTTTCTAAAAATTGACATAGTTTTACACCAAAAAGAAGAACCTGAAGACAAAAACGATCCCTTCTAAAATTAAAAGCCATGTACTAGAGCACATTTCCGAGTCATTTTACAAGATTTAAAGGGCTGAAAATCGCTAATTTCTGTTTTTGGGTCACCCTACACATTGTACAATTGTCATATTAAAATCATAACTTGAGTCTAATGCCTTCCCATTCGGAACTACATAGTTTTTGGGTACCACTGTATAGTTCTTTTAAGGGAATCGCTAAATCCTCTTAGTGGTTTTAATTAAGTAAAACAACTAGGTTTGTTTTATTTTTTTAAAATAGTTTCTATAATTTTAGGGATAACCTTCACCACATTTGATTACGTGTACCCTGCCCTGTGCCGTACAACCGTATGCGTACATAATGTACTTGACCTTGTACATAGATCAGTTCCTACAGGTGAAAACAGATTCTGAAATTATTTAAACATTATCTATAAGAAGTTTTTATAAAGCAACTTATGAATGTACTGGCCCAACCCGAAAAATAATTCAAGAGTACCAGATAGAACGGGTTTTAGGCATTGGCCTACTACCCACGATGGCGGTCTATTTGATTCATCATTGGGGAATTGGGATCTTTAACGATCATCTGTATATATTTTTATTTTATCATCATGGTTAGTTCGAGATAATGTATTATTATATATCACATAACTGATAAGCAAAACGGGATATAATTTGCAGGTTAGTAACATTCTTTGTATGATTTTGTAACAATAAAAGAGTATATATATATATATATATATATTAAGCAGCACTGGATTGTAAATTTGACTAAAAACTGGGTTTAATAGGTGGAGTAAACTCTACTACTTATATGTAGTAGGATGAGAGGATAGCAAGGGTTGAAATATTTTTAAGGAAATTTGAAAATGAGATAGATTTATCACGGAATGTAAATATAATGTTGAGCCTGGCCCTGTTCTCAGGAGATATTTATTTTATATCATATATATATATATATATATATATATTTTTATGTTTGTATACTAGCTATAACTGGCCAAACGGCTGAACCGAATTGGCACTCAGCTAGTTATATTAAAGATGCCAGCTCAGAGTAACCGTTTCAAATCAACTGAAATTAGAAGTAGAATAATTTTGGGTTAAAAATATCAAAAAGGATAGAAAAACTTGTTGATCTCCAATTTTTCCTTTTTTTAAGAACATTGAAAATCTTTACTCTCGAAATTTCGGGGAATTCTAGATTCGGAATAAAGATAAGGTTTCCGCCGTTGCAATCTGATAATTAATGAAATAATACATTTATTTAAAAAGTTTTTTATCTTTGTTTTAGAAGTCGGTGGAAAATACCAGAAATCCTAAACTGCTTCTGCTCACAGTTCATTGTGAACATGTACTGTCAAACCACACCGCCTTCATGTACCGTGTACGCAGTACTTAAAGTGCAAACAAACTGAGCCATTTCTCTAAATTGACTGTGAAAAAAGACTGATAAGTGATTTTGTGTTAAAAATGGAAATTCTAGTGGTGCCGTAGTCTAGGGTTGTGATTAATTGTGATCTAAGAAAATTTCGGAGTTTTAAAAAAAAATTTGTATGGGGCCAAGGGAGGTAAGGGATGGAGGGGGGACATCGAGCTTAAAATGAAGTTTTAATTAATTCTAGACAAATATTAGTCAAATCGTTAAGGAATGATGCATTTTAATTTGGAAATATTTTTTTTTCATTTAAAGAGGTGATTGGGTTAAATTATTTCAAATTTTTTTTTTGCTTTTTCATACAAAAATATTACCAAAATTTGGATTACATTTTGTTGGGTCTAAGACCTTCAGTATCTTCCGATCTAGTTTTCATATTGTGATTAAATTTTAAAAGTTTATTATTGAAATTTAAATGATTATTCTGATAAAAATCAAAACATGACATATGCCTTGCTGAAAAACTTAGCTTTCTCAAAAATGCCTCAATTTCTTCAGTTTGTAATACATCATAGATAAAAGTTTATATTTCTCTGTTATCTATTTTATTCTATTATTAAATTCGACAATAATCGTATTTTTTCTGATGAAATAAGTCAAAGTGTTCTGTACCGCGTACTGTAAGAAATGATATTTTAGTAAACAAAAATACAATCTTTTTGGTGCAGTACAAAGTACGGTACAAATATTGATACATTACATACATTACATTTATGGTACATGCATATTAATATACGTCATATAGACTTAAATCTGTAGTTGAACCAGTAGAAATATATTGTTAAAAGTTTATTTATGTTTTAAAATCAGTTTTAACTTCAAATCAGTTTAAATATAATTTATTCGGCACATTAAGTTGAGCTGGTAAAGAATTAAGGGAGGGGGGTGGGGTTCTGCGTGGGAAATCTATTCGGTGACCTGGGGTTAAGGAATATATGTCACTGGGCAGGGGCGTAGGGGTTGTGGTATATTTTAACAATTAATGCGTGAAGAGCTCCGATTTTTGTGTACCCCCCCCCCTCCCAGGACTACATATACACTATACAGCCCCATTCACGAATATGGGTTTTAGTTGGGTTTGATTTCAATTTCCCAATTATTACTGGAATTAACAAACTCTATCAAATAGAAGGCTTTCTTTCCCACTTTTCAGCTTTCACTGTACTCAAGGAGAATTGAATCGAAGGAGGGGGCGATAGGGTTCTGTACACTTTGCTGTGACGTTTTTGTACTGCAAAAGAACTAGTTTTTGCGTAACAACAATAATAAAGATTGTAAACAATAACACAAATGATAAACAGACATCTGGCATCTCTGGCGCGTTAGATGAAGATTCACTGCATACTAACTCATGTTTGTTTACATTAGATCGGCTGCCTTTGTTATTGTTACGTATAAAAACTAGTTCTTCAGCTGCAGTCCAAACACGTCACAAAGTGTACGGAAACCCTATCGCCCCCTCCTATTCAATTCTCCTTGACTTTACTTAACTTATTACCATACAGTACGGGTTGTCCATTAGAATTGAGACTTTTAATCCATCTTATGAAATGGCAAATCCACCAATACGGAAATAAAAAATCTGCAATGATCAGCCACCTGTGCCCTGAGAACAAACTAGTTGAATTTTTTTTTTTAAATAATATACCCAGAGAGGCTTTTGAGAAAGATTGCCATGTCTATAAAAGTGTAATCTGTCGGAGACCGTTAAGAGTGTTAAAAACTAAACTTATTTTAAGATGCTTGTCATGCTTTATATTAATAAAATGACATCTGATCTAAATATCGTTATTAATATGTTTAAATTTTTTTTGGACTTGCAAGTATAAATCGAGTGTTTTTTCTGAAGTCTAAATTTATAGTGGACACACATTAAGACATGACACTATGTACAGAGCGTCCGAAATCATACAGGGTGTCCCAAAAAACATGGGAATTCAGTGACGAATTATGCAGAAAATGCTAGATTTTTCGAGTATTATGTGCGTATTTTGGCGTTAAAGATTGGAGATAATCTAATATGATATGGGACGCTCTGTATATGTGCATGTACGTAGGTAAGGGAGGTGCTAATTCCCAAGATTCTAGTGGGGGGGGGGGGTAATTACTAATATAACCCCCCTATATCTACGCCTCCGCATGGGGTGCAGTGACTAATCGTTGAAATGGGGAAGAACTACAGGTATGGGACCAAATGCTTTAGGGAGGAGCATTTTTATATACCATATTTATCAATCGTGACTTCAAACATAGAAATTAATGATTAATACTTTATCCTTATTTAATTTTTTTTCAAATCAAATCATGGTAATGTTACATCGTCTATACGCAACATCCCCCCTACTGAACTTCCGACCTACTGCAATATCGGACCTATGTGCAGCTGTTTATTTTTGTATTATTTGAGGGTTAGGTTAGGTTAAGACAATTTCTGGGCCGAGCGCCGCGGCTAGGACAGGCTAGGGGGCCGCGCGCTGCGGCCAGAAGTCCATATAGCAGCTGTAAAACCACGTGCTAGTAGGTCGGATGTGTAGTATAGCGGATTTGGCGTAGGTCAGAAGTGGAGTATAGCGGATTTGCGTAGGTCGAAAAATACACCACCCAAATCATCAATATGTCGTCTTTACATTACCGAAAGTAAACAAGGGCAATGCCGCTGCCAACTGTGGAGTCTTTAAACATGTTAAAAAACTATTGACTCTAATAAGAAATTGCGTAAAATTGTAGCATGTAAACGAGTTTAGTTTATAAAGTCAGAAAAATATTTAAAAATCCGTGCCGGGTTTTATACTAATTTGCTTATACATGAATCTGTTTTAAAACAAAATGTTTTAATGAGAAAGCAGGGTATATTCCTAGAGAACGATTTTTGGACACCCCCTTCTCCTATCAATTTTGAACATGGATCTTACAGTAAGTGTCTCAACTTAACCTAACCCGTG